AGGTCTGACTGGGGGTAGGTTGCGCAAAATGGAGAACTTCCCGTCAGTTTAGAAAGGGGGCTATTTGCTATTTGCTATTTTTTTAGCAAATAGAAAATTAAATTGCTTTTTCTGTCCTCCTAAATTTGTGACCCTCCTGCATTTTCAGTTGGCTCACATCCATATCCACCCAACCACCACCAACCAGCAACTTCTTCACATCCAAGGACCACAATGGTCTAAAATCCCCAAATCCAGGCCAGTCAAGGCAATCAAAACCCTCCAAACCAAACACCTGATGTAGATACCCAAACTCAACCAAACAAGAGTGTTTCATATCAACCAAACAGTGGCAGATTGAAGAAGAATAAAAAAAACAATGTTAAATCAACTACGGGCAAAAGAACTGGGGGCCAGCCCCCAGGCTCTCTGGGATACAACCTTGCAGAGTGTATGTTGTTAGCTGAGGCTGTTGAAAGCGCTTTCCTGTTAGGAAATCAAGACCGGCTTTCAGTAGCCAATCAGTACAATGTCAAAGTTCTTCTTCTTAACTGACCCAAACAAAGGGCCTTGCTCAATCCAAAAAGCCCACTGGCAACGCAACCTGCCCAGAACATATTTGCGAGGAAAAACGAGTCAATGATCTTATCAATGAGAAGGCCAATGAGTGTGCCTTGGGAGTCTCTCCAGTGGAGATGAAAGGTACATTATATGTTGCTTTATTTTGTTCAAGAGAACATCAACTTATTTTGATTTTATCAGAAACAGTGTAGGCGCTGATGTTCTTTCAAGCAATGAAAATGATGTTGACATGAATGAAAACCACTGCACTGAGAAGCTTGATTGAACTCAACAGGAAGGCTTCTGTACTTTATTTTCTGGATGGAGCCAAACTCAATTGGCAAACCAGGATTTGGGTGACTCTCCAAACCCCAGTCAAACTCATTTGATGTGCCGCCAAACATCGTATCAAAGCCCTCTGGTTCAATGGGCCCACTCACAGGCAACCTCAGGCCAGCCATCCCCAATGATGAGTGTCAATCTGTTGAATTTTCCTCATCTTGTCTCTCTCTGCCCTTCATCACTTTCTAGTCATCATAAAATCAGACTAGATTCTACTCATCAAAGTAGCTTGTTTTTTGTTGTTATTAAGCCCCTTTTGAGTCAAATATGAACCCTAAGTAATGCTCTTCTCAAAAACTCATGTCTCTACAATTTTTTCTTCTATTTCCTGATCTTTCTGTTTGATTTATCAAATTCTGATTACTTAGACTTAACAACTCTAAATATCTGTGGATTTTAGCATGTTTTTTCTTGATTAACTCATCTGGCTCAACTAAAGGAGACTGAGAAGCCCTGTACAGTTTTTTTCTTCCAAAGACTCATGTTTCTTCCTCTCAGTCTCTTATTCAAAATGGTTTTGCTGTTCATTTCTCACAACCACATTTTCACCATTTGTATTTAGTATATTTAAACCTGAATAGATATTGTTGAATAAAAATCATTGGTTCTTACACTCTTTTTTCCATGAACCTTTCCCAAAATAAGATCTTCTCTTTTGGGCCCTCAACCTCTGATGCGCTTGAGTTTTTGAATTTTCAACACAATCAAAGATCTTGTAACTAAGCCTAGAGTTTGAGAGAATCAAAAATCACGGCCGAAGTTGGGGGGTTTGCATAGGCTCAGGCTTCTCCCTGGGTTTCAGGTGTAGCACAAACCTCACTCCCCTCTCACTGCTGTTAGAACAGCAAGCTTTGTTTCCCTCTGCTTCAGGAGTAGAGTCTCACCCTTTTTGGAAACAAACTAGTGGAACCCTCACAAATGAGTTGAGGTCCCTGGCAAAGTTCTTTTTCCAAAAAAGATTCAAGACTCTCCCCAAGACCCAAACACCGCCAAAATGAAAATCCGACATAATAGACGGGGACCATGAAGGCTCATGGGCACAAATATCAAAGCCTATACCAGCATTTAGGCTGAATACTCTTGTCCCAGAAAAGTGTGCAGAGACTGAAAAAGCAGAGACGGCTTGGACTTAATTTTCATTATTTTTTGATGTTTTAATTTTTTTTCCTACACTTTAAGACATTTGAAAAATTATGGTAATAATCATTTACATAAAAACCAAATATCTTTATTGAATACTAGTATATGCCCCCAAATTTGGGGAGGCTGCTTGTTTTTGCCCTGGATGTTGGGGGTTTTACTTGTTTGAAGGTCCTATGGTGTAATAGCCTTTGCTTTTGAAGGTTGCTATGATTGTAAAGTCCTAGTGAATGTTGGAAATGACATTGAATTGTGCAAAATTGACGCCGGCATTAGAAGCCGCATGAGAAACAATAGAATTACTGATTGAAGCCTGACAGTTTGTTTGGTCCTCTGAGGCTATTCCTTTAGTTATATGTAGATTGTGTTGGAAAGGTTTTTTTAATGTTTTTTCAATTGATTTTTACCAGCTTAATTTTAATCATTTTTTGAAATTTTAAATTTATTTCCTACATTTAAAAATGTGTAGAATTTAACGGTGAAGTCCAATTTCCCTAAAAATAAAAGCTTCAATCTTAACATATGAGCATACCCCGTTTTGCCCATAATTTGTACCGTATACAAATTTTATTTGAATGCAAAATGAATACAGCCATCAATTTTAAAACCTTGCAAAATGGAGGAAATGAAATTAAAATTCCATAAAATAAGGAAAATTAAGTGTGTAAGAATTAATTAAAAAAACACGTCAAATGCAATATTCAAGATATAGTTTTTGTTTTGATGCAAAGTGATTGTCACCTTCATTTTAAACATGTCTCAAAGTGTGGCAAATGAATTCAAAGTGTCAAAAAATTTTGAGACATACATGTAAAGAATTGATTGAAAAAAGTGTCTAATTTCAGTATTAAAAATGAACCATTTATTTTTATGGGAATTGGACTTCACCATTAATTTCTAGATATTTTGAAATGTAAGAAACAACTTTAAAATTTTAAAAAATCATAAAAAATATGGTAAAAAAATTAATGTAAACAATTAAGTGAAAAAATGAAGAATGAATTAAAAAGGGTGTTAATAAAAAAATGTGGTAAATCTGCGTTTACAAGCGGTTTTGCTGTGGCACAGCACACACGGATTTTGTGTGTACAGTGGGTAGACAGTGAAAAGTGGCTGCTTATATTGGATTCCAGAGCTCCAATAGACAGACTTGAAGTCATGGGACTTGGTCAGGTGGTGCATAATAGGTCATAGAAAATGAATATGAAAAAATAAAAATAAAAAATAAAGTTTCAAAATTTGTGAAAAATAAAAAATAAAATTGATTTTTTTCAAAAGCTTTGATATTCATTTTGGGGGAGTGGGAGTGCTGAGAGAAAGAAAGAATGGGACATGGTAAGAATGATTATAAATGAAAAAAATGGAGCCAAAAAAGATTTGGCCAGGTTGTTTGTCCAGATTGGAGCCAAAACAGTAAAGGGCCTTAGCTAATTGACTCCCAAACTTGGGAGGATTGACTCCCAAATTTGGGAGTTTTTGGGAGGACCACTTGGGGACAGTCCCAGGACGTCCCCAGCCCCAAAAACCCGGCTCCCCCTAAGCTGTGGGAGTTGCTCCTCCCATTCCTGAAGTGGGAATGGGAGTCAATTCTCTCATTCAAATAATCAAAAATAAATCATTCCCCGGATTAATCTTCCGGGGAATGCCCTCTGAATCTTGACGGTCCTCCCAGCTGTCAAGATTTGGACACGTTCAGCGGCCGGAGGGAATTCTCCTGGCCATTGAAGTTTGTCCCCCCCCCGTCCCGCCAGCCTGTACAACTCAACGGCCGGGAGTTATCACTCTCAGCCGCTGAGAGTGTACACACCTCAGCATCCAAGAGGAATCCTCCTGGTTGCTGAGGGTGTACACCTCTCAACAAACGGGAGGATTCCTCGCAGTCGCTGAGGGTGTACAGCTCTCAGCAACCAAGAGAATCATCTTGGTTGCTTAGGGTGTACACCTCTCAATGACCGGGAGGATTACTCCCAGTCGCTGAGAGTGTACAGATCTCAGCAACCAAGAGGGTTCTCTCGGTTGCTGAGAGCTGTACACCCTCAGCGACCAGGGGGAATCCTCTCAGTCGCGGAGAGTGTACACCTCTCAGCAACCGAAGGAATCCTCCCGGCTGCTGAGAGGTGTACAACCCGGTTGCTTCTCAGCAACTGGGATGATTCCTCCCAGTTGCTGAGAAGCAACTGGGCTGTACACCTCTTAGCAACCGGGAGGAATCATCCCAGTTTAGAGATTGTTCGTTCGTACTCGGGTACCTGTTGGTACCTTTGTGTCAGGATCACCAATAAGTAATTCATTCCTTCAAGTTCAGCTTGCATCTGTCTGCTAAGTTCCTTCTCTGTCTCTCTGAATGACCACTTCATTCTGTTTCTACTAAACCTCTGCCTCAATCATCATCACATCAAATCAAGTCACCTTCATTCTCTTTTTGGTGGTATAACTGAAAACCACATAGGTTTCCATTTAAATAACCTTGATCTTTAATCTAAAAAATAGTGGTTGGATTGACATATCAATACCAAGTACCCTTCTCAGTTTCATTTGAGTAAGGAGGCATAGATTTATTCCGCTAAAGAACAGCCATCCTTCTCAGGAAAGTAAGACTGCATCAAACCTTGATTATAAAATAAATAAAAAATAAAAAATATTATTCATTTCTTTTCTCTTTCTTCCTCTCTCCTTTTCTCTTATTCTAGTTGTATTTCTTTATCCCCTTGAAATACATCTAGAATTACCCCCAACCCTTGTGTCCTGCTGTCACTTTTGAGACCCAGGCTCACAGATTCTAACATGGTTCTTGTTGATTTATTCAGAATGTTGCAGCAACTAGTGGCTTGAGTGGTCAATCAGCCGCCAATTCAGTGCAAGCTAATGCCGTTCCGCAAGTAAGTCCCTCTTTTCTTCTCTTCGCAAAAAAGCTTCCAATCCAACAACTGATTTGGTGTCTTGTTTATAATTTGTTCTAGGTGGTGAATATTGATACCATGCAAAAAATCGTTATTCCAAAAGGTTTGGAGATCGTCAAGACCCCATCATTCTACTTCCCACTCAAGGCCAAGTGGCATTCCATCTATGACCCTCAAGGGCATTACGATCTTGTAAGTTCATTCTTTTTGTTGTTCTTTTGTTGTTTGATTTTTGATACTAATGATGTCTTCTCTTTCCAGTCTTCAATTCCGACTACAGTTCCAAGGATGAATAGCCACAACAATCCACATCCATTTGTTTGTGTAGCATGGAATGTAAATGATCCTGTAAGCCTTTTGCTTGTCTTGTCTAATCTGCCTTGTTGATTCAACCACTAATACTGTTGGTTTTTTATTATTTAACTAGTATATGCCCCCAAATTTGGGGAGGCTGCTCGTTTTTGCCCCGGATGTTGGGGGTTTTACTTGTTTAAAGTCCTATGGTGTACCTTCGATTTTGAAGGTCGCTATGATTGTAAAGTATTAGTGAATGTCAGAAATGACATTGAAATGTGAAATATCGACGCCGGCGTTAGAAGCCGCATGAGAAATCAATACAAAGGCTGACAGTTTGTTTGGCCCTCTGAGGCCATTTTTTTAGTTATATGTAGATTCACAGGAGCTTCCTCCTGGACTCCCAGTCCCATTCTTAAGCCCTGTGTCTCCGATTGACCTAATATTGGATTCTAGTTCTCAAGCCCCATCTACTCGGTCTAGTTCTGCGCCTTTGACTTCGTCAAATACCTGGTCCAACGCCTCTTCGACCTATACACAGTCTAGGCTTACATCAATTTAAATCACAAGGGGGTTGAAAACCTCCTCCTCAACAATAATCCCCCACCGACTGCCGTGTGTCTCTACACTGAGGAGGATGCCATGAGGATCTTCGAGGGTATTGGTCGGGAATTTGTACACACAACTCCACAATAAAAAAAATTGACGCAGTCTATCCACTGCTGAAGCAACATACTGGTGTTTCACTTATCACAGCTATTCAGTCGACCAGCTATCACGCTGGTGTCACCCTACCTTTGGGGTCCCAATTGCCTCTTGGCAATGTGGGATTAGAGGTGCTTCCGGCCGGACAAGAGTCTCCGGCTCAAGACACCTCAGGTAACTGATTTCTTTCTGCTTGTTTTCATCGGAGATCATGATTAAATGATCAACCTTATTTAGATGACAGACCAAATAGAACTAATTATGTTTGCATTTAGGTCCTGCCCCAGTCTACATACGATTGCCCAGCCTGGAATATCACTGTGAATGTGGCGCGATCGTCAAAAAGAACCGGAAACACAACATGATCCGGCATATTAACACAGTTCACCGCACACCCGGAGATCCTCAGCGGCCTCTATGTAAGTTTTTTATACATTATTTGATAAAGGAAACAACTTGCAGATTTCACCACTAATCATTCTCCTCGAACTTATATCCCAGATGAATGCGACAAGTGCGGAAAGACCTATATGAACTCGGGTGAATTGGCCCAGCATAAAAGGGACAATCATGATGCGCCGCCACCCAAGCCGCGAGCAATGAAGCAAAAAGCAGCTTCGGAAAAGTGTATGTACTCTTGTCTTCAACACCATCATACACCAGTGGACTTTTCACTGATTTTCATTTGTACACTTTGCACAAAACCTTTTCTAGTCCCGTGTCAGGTAGCCGGCTGTGAACATGAATATGCCAGCTTGGAGTCTCAAGCTTATTACAGGCACCTCCAAGAAAAGCACGGGGTGGAGGTGGAACGAAAACTTGAAGAGCGGGAGATGGTCCCAACTTCACCACCGCACAACCCAATCGCTGGCCCATCACGGCCTCGGGGACCACCAGCCCTATGAATTAGTGATGAATTCTTTCTAAATCCTCTATTTTTCTTCTTTTCTATGAAACACACATCTAGTCCCGTGTGAGGTAGCCGGCTGTAAAAATATATATGCCAGCTTGGGGTCCCAATCTTATTACAAACACCTCCGAGAAAAGCACGGTGTGGAGGTGGAACGAAAAATTGAAGAGCGGGAGATGGTCCCAACTTCACCACCACACAACCCGATTGCTGGCCCATCACGGCCTCGGGGACCACCGACGCTATAACTTAGTGATCAATTCTTCCTCAATCCTCTGTTTTTCTTCTTTTTTTATAATTATAAACTGTGACTTGGAACGCACACCTTGCTTGAATATAATAAGTCTGTAGCGATCCTCAGAACTGACTGTTTTGCATTGAGATACTGGAGGACTTCCCGCGAATACCACTGCTGTACTTGTGCCGCGATCGTCAAGAAGAACCGGAGATCAAACATGCTCCAGAGGTGGTTCCGCTCGGCGAAGATGCTCCGGTTGAAAACACCTCAGGTACCAGATTGATAACTCTTATTGAGACAACAACACAAATAGACTAACTCTTATTGCATTAATATACCGGCCAACGCTCTATAAAGTTGGCCAAGTGCAGTTTAAAATTCTGTGCGCGGCTTGACTTGTAATAGAAAAAGACGACCAAACATGGTCCGTCATGTGGCAACACAACACTCAAGAACAGGCGATCCTCCGCTGCGCCCGTGTAAGTGTTTTTACACAATATGGAATTGTCTTGGATATTTTGCACAAAACGGTTCAAGTCCCGTGTCAGGTACCGGGCTGTGAAAGGGAACATGTAAGATTGAGGTCTCAAGCCTACTATCAACATCTCCGAAAAATCCGTGGTGTGGGTTTGGAGGTAGATACGAGCAGAAGAACAATGGAGGGAGCAGGCTGAATTACGGTTCAAAATGACGGAGAGGGGACCGGGCATGATTTGTAGATGTGAGGCAGAACGGATGTCAGGGTTGTGATTGAGCGTGGTAGGTGGGAAGGATGATATTCTTCTAATTAATAGACAAAGACTCGATGAGCTTATGTTCCAAACACTCCGATCCCTCCTCGACTTCACCTCAGTTTCATTTCCTTGATCGGTCCCAGGATTTTGTTATAAATATCCTCCGAATGGACATCTGCTTCCGATATCACAATTGACGTGGCTGCCGAATGCATTTCATCTAAGGCCAAAGATTTCCTGGGCTCATTGCCAGTATATATGTTGGCTGAGAAGTCCGAGATAGACGAAGAAACTGAGGTTTCTAGAAGAAGCCAATCACAAAGGTAGTCATCTTCATCAATTTTCATGTTGTTGCCGGGTAAGTATGTATTGGGAAGGGTAGGAAGAGGTGTGATTACGAGTCTTTGTGGTAGAGGTGGGTTTGGAGAATGTGTTTTCTTATCGAATCATACTTTTTAGAGACAGCAATATGATGACCACCTAGTGCTCAACACAATCCCCTCCTATGACTCTACCGGCCAAAAAGCTGTCTTTCCTTTGTTCCAGCGATCTATCGCCTAGCTTACGTCTTACTGAAAAGGAAGGCAAAGACCACCCCATGTTCGCTTTTATTCCCTTTGCTCTGCATGACGTGATCGCGAGGATGCGATCCGGGAGAATTCCAAAGTGTGGATTTTCCGCTTGACTTGCTATAAATTACACGTCACTGTTTAGCTTGACGAATGGGTCAAGACAGGGTGGATTCCACACTAGGATGGTCCTGGCTTTTGGGCCGATGAGCCAACTACTAATTGAGAAACTGCAGGAAGAATATTCTCATCTGTCTGCCCTGTAGGGGTCCAGGTACTAAAATAAAAAGAAAGGATTGCAGAAACCGCTGGATGCTTGAGACCCATTCAAATCAAGACGTACAAAGCATGGATTTTCACTTGATTCTCCCTAGCTTGCGCAAGCCGCTTAAAAGAGGAGAATTCAAACGATTTTGAATCAACATTGTAATTATCGATAGCTTGTGTTTTTCCTTCCCACTGCCAGTCCCCTCCAAAGCCGCAATATTATCATATGGGGATCCGAAACTATCCCCCTCTTTTCCTTTCTTATTCAATTTCTTTGATCTGGTATGATGGAACTTTTGAGATGCTAAATCATATAATCTTCCATCTCTCCTGTCCTTGGACTCATTTGGCTCTTTGTGGTACTCATGTCTTTTTTTCACAGCCACATTTCCTTGGGACATCTAAGATCATCAAAGGAAAGAGAAATCTCCACTGGTCAATCGACAATCTTCAACTTTTTATTTCTGCTGTCGGCTGCCTATAATGGTCGCTGTACGATGATTTGTAGCCCGCGGTAAGGCATGCAACAAATGTTATACTGGTGGGATAAAGGGAGAAATAATTATAAGAGGACTCCATGGCGCAATGGTAGCGCGTTCGACTCCAGTGGTCCATAGGATCTGCGTCATCGAAAGGTTGCGTGTTCAAGTCACGTTGGGGTCAGGCTGTTTTTGCCAAGTCGCTCGATAATGAAGCGTTGGCTGAATGCTTTTTTGCTTCCATTCTTGCTTCCATGAGGATTGATAATGATGTGGGTGGAATGATATCTGTTTGAGCCATAATTGAATGAAGGCTATGGGGAGGGGGTGGGGGTGAGCGCTACTTGTCATGATCTGGCCGAGCGAGCCTGATCCCGTATCATTCACATTTGATCTCCGTTTTTTTTCGACGCGCACCCAAGCCGCATCCCATGGTTGGTTAGACGGGTCGAGAATTGTCGGGAAATTTTCGTTCGACTTTCCCCGCCGGCGTTTGTCCGGGGCTCCTGAACCTCCGGCTTCCCCGGGCATAAAATCTCATTCCATTGTGCGAGTGGGAGATCAGGGGAAGAAGGGTGCTTATAGGTACCGGGGTGGATTGGCGGCTACGTCACACGGCACAGATACAGTGATCTGGGAGGAACCCACAGATCAAGCCGCGGAGCTCGGCCGCCGAGGGGACGAGGTAAACTGGCTAGCCGCGCCGGTAAAGATGCTCTCAGCGGTTGAGGCAGTTTTGCTCCGGCTCGTAGTGCTTGCTCTCACGACGTTCGTTCAATTGATGACGGTGGAGTAGAATGTCGACGACTTTGTGATTCATTCAAGGCTGGAGATTGAACCTCGTAGGCTCGTAGTGCACTATGTAGTGCCGGAAATCGATTGGCAGCCGACTGACTTCTTTGTCTGTCCTACCGCCGTGAGGGGACCATATCACTGGTACGGATTTTTGGCTCTCCGTAACACTTTTGCTACTAAGAACCCCCCAATCAGACTGAGACACTCTTGCAGGCACCTGTCACGTTAGATTTTCTCTGGACCTCATTCGCCGATCACCACCACACTCTGACTCGACCAGCTTTCTGAATCCATCTTCCTTCATGAGGCACAATCAGCTTGCTTGTGCCCTCTTTAACAAGATCTGATCTCCCTTTTCTCTATTCGAAATATGAACAACGCTGTTTCGACCCAGAAAAAAGCTGACCAGCCATCACTTTTTCATGACCCCTATAATAACATTGCAAAATTATCACTCGTCAAGTGCGCTTATTTAACCCTTGTTTGAAACAACCTTGCACTATGCCTCAGCCAAAAAAAAACCTCCCAGATACAGTATCCCCGCAGAATATATCCTCACAATCCGAAGAGAAACACGTCCAAGACTCCATGGCGCAATGGTAGCGCGTTCGACTCCAGTTGTCCATGGGACCTCATGTGTCATCGAAAGGTTGCGTGTTCAAGTCACGTTGGGGTCAGTCACCTTTTTAATGAAAGCCCTTGGCCCAATTTCCCTCATTTTTCCCCGCATGCCTTCTTTCCAAGCTGCAGCAATTTTTTTTTATTTTTACTTGAGGAAATCCACAAATAGCACATGGAAAAGGATGGGCGATGTGTGATTCCAGACAGTGGAAGTGATTCTGAAGCGCGAAGGGATTGATGAGGATTGATGATGATCAAGTACGATTTGAGTACTACAGATCAGCAGTTGTAGCAGAAATCAAAAATCAACTGCAACGCCGGCTAGTGATTATATCTGTGCTGGGCTCGTGTAACTGTTTCCCCAATCACATCTCACATCTCAATCTACCTCCCGACCGCTCTTTCTCTCACACTCGAAAAACATTTTTTTAAAGTCAATGTGTGTATAAGTTACAATTCTCTCTCACACAAGTGTGTGTGCATGTATCAACATAATGAAAATCTATTGGAGACAGAGCTTTAGGAAAGAGAAAAAAAGAGAGAGAAGTCTACATAACGTGCGTAATGGCTATTTTGAAAGATTTCACAAGTGTTTTAATGTTTTGGGACGTACTACGATCGCTTGGCCTATGTATTTAAGTTTTTGAGTAAGAAACGGGATAGGAAGAGGCTAGATCTTATTCTTGTTAATACAAAGTGGTGAAAAAGAAGAGAAAGAGAAAGAACGGAAGAAGAGAAGAAGAGAAAGGATAAAGCTGAGAGCGGAGGTGATGAGGAGAAGCGTGCCAAGGTTTTACGATAAAAGACGGGATCTTCTCGAGCGAGAGGGAGTGAAGAAAAGATCTAAAGTTTAGGCGAACTTTTGCCGTTCCAACTAGCCAAGAAATGTCTACCAGAGAAGACATGCTCGACCTTACTCGGCTCCTGAGCACTTTTACCGGCGACCTGTCGATCCCCAATCTCCACATAATCGCGGATCCCTTCGCCCACATAGACTTGTCTGGGACGCCAGATCTTCACTCCGCCGGCTTGGTGTTGCATTTGCTTCCAATGCGCTAGCCATCCGACCACTCGCGGTACCGCAAATAACACTGGGAAAAAATCCGTCGGGAAGCCTAAGGCTCGGTAGATTAATCCACTCCAAAAACTAAAAATCAAAAGGAGAAGAAAACGCCTTGTTGTTATTAAGAGCTTCCAACTCTTCGTTTTTTTGTTCTTGTTAGATTATTGTTTTGGACTTACTCTACATTCTAAAATAAAAGATAATCGCCACGGTAAGAAGAAAGAACCAATCAACTCCACATTCACATATTCCCTCTGATCTTCTTTAAACCCCTTTCTTCCTCCCCATCCTCATCAAATGCCCAACAACAACAACAAAAAGAAATGTATCTTACAGGGTAAAGATTCCTAGATTGGAAGTATTCGTCCTTCATAGCATGTTCATGTAAAGCGATCGCCGTATCCAACATTTTATCTTTCCCAGTCACCGCAAAGACCTGATGAGAAAAAAGGAAATACGAATATCGAAGAATGATTACCTAAGAATAGTGAAAATCGAAAGAAAAAAAGGGGGGGTACAGAAAAACGAGACGAAAGAGAGACGAACCTCGTCTGCGGTTTTACGGATTATGAAAGATCGAGGATCGGAAGTTTTATAAACCCGATGGCCGAACCCACTGAGGACCTCTTTCTTCTCCTTGACCCGTTCGATGAAGTTAGGGACGGCGGCAGGACTGCCGATGCGCATCAACATCCTGATCACCGCCTCGTTGGCGCCGCCATGCAATGGCCCATACAGGGCTGCCGTCGAGGCGGCAACGGCACTGTATGGGTCGACTAAGGTGCTTCCGGTCTGTAACATCGTCGCCGTGCCTGCATTTAATTCCTACACATCAACACTCTCCGAAGTCAGTTTTTTTGTTGTTGTTGTAGATCGGATTTTTGAGGATGGAAATGGGAAGGAAGGAAGAGACGGACATGGTCGGCATGCAAGATGAAGAGCACATCGAGCGCCTTAGCGATCACCGGATTCGGCCGATAGTTTTCGCCCTCGTTCAAGTAGTCGAGCATGTAGAGGAACGTCTCGGTATACGAGCGGCCGACGGGCGGCCGATTGAAGGCTCTGCCCATCCGGACCCGGTACGCCATCGCCGCCAGGGAAATCGACTTGCCGAGCAATCGGAAGATCTGCTTGTCCATCACCGTCCTCGAACTGGCCTCCTCTGGCCTGGTGTATAACTTTTGCCCCTGTAGGGACGGGTTCGCTTCCGGCGCAAATGCCCCCAAGGCTCCAAATGAAGATATCAATATCGCCATCGGATGCGCATCATATCTGAATGCTGAGACTATTTGTTCTAAATCTACATGCACATATGTATGATGCTAAAATAAATAACCAATTTTTCGATCATCGTTAGTATTATTAGATGCTTGGAACGGGATGGTTGATAAGCAAATGCTTACCATGACTTCATTTTGGAACAGATTGAATTGTTGTTTGGTCGGCAATTCTCCGTAGAGTAATAGATAAGAGACTTCAAGATAAGTGCTCTTTTCAGCCAGTTGTTCGATTGGATAACCCCTACAACGATAATATGAAAGCAAAGAAGAAGAGAAGGTCGATAGATAATTATGATAGAAGGGAGGATGACTGTAGTCTGCACTGACTGACCTGTATCGAAGTTCACCAGCCGCCCCATTGATGTAAGTGATCTTACTCTTAATGACCGCCGTATTCATGAATCTAAAACCAAGCAAGCCAGCTGAGTTTCTCTCCATGTGAAGAATAGGTGAAATGAGATGAGATGAGAAGAACCGACCCAGGATCATAGACTCTGATCCCGGCCTCCAACTCATCCTCGGGTCGACTCGACGAAGCTTTGTTATTCGATTGATGATCTTCCTTCTTGATCGATAGTTTTTTCAAGGCTGTTGCGGGGATCGAGTTCTGTTCGATGTCTACCTCGATCCTCTTTCCCGTTCGATTGTCGATCACTGCATAGATCATCATCATTTCCTCTCAGCAAATGACTAGATGACTGTCAATCTATATTGTTTACCTGTTAGTGATTCCGTTCCGGCTGAGTTGGTTGCTGGTCTTCCCATCTTTATTCGGTGGTGATGGTTTTGTGTGTGTGTGTGTGTGTTGGGTTTTTGGTGAAGTGGTAGTGGAGTATGTTTGAGTGTGTCGGAGTTGGGCTTGGGCTTGGGGGGACTCGGGAGTGTGATTCGATGATGTCACTGGCCTCCTCGGGGACTCCGGGGGGAAGTCGGGTCGCCCGCCGTGACCGGTCCATTCCCATTCCCATCGCCCACCTTGGTTGTGAGTGTTCACTACGATCATCAAGAAGAACTCGAAAGACGAAACTCAAACTCAAACGATGACTTCTTCAAACCAATCAACAACCAGCCAACATCCCTTACGACCATACTACCAGCCACGAGCCCAGCACTCCACTAGCACCCAGTGGCAGACCACCACAACAGCAACAGCAACAGCCAGACCGACGATCCAAGACCTGATGGCCTCCTCGCCATCCTCTTCCTCATCCTTGCTACTACGACCAGCCCATCCGAGCCCCTCCTCCTCATCGATCATCACCGCCTACGACTTGGACCTCCGAACGACCGCCTCCTCCTCCTCCTCCTCGCTCTCGCTCATCTTTCGTGGCTACCTTAGCGCCGGAATGCTCGCGTTTACCTCCGCCGCTATGGTCATGCCCTTCGAGGTCGGCAAAACTCTCCTCCAGGTCCAGTGGATCCCGCTGTCCGATAGCGATCATCCTCCTCATGTTCCTGATCAGGAGGACTATCTGGATGAGGCTGAGGAGGAGGAGGAGGAAGAGGATGACGAGGAATCTCTGGATGCTTAGTTGAGCATACACTTTTTTTTTCCTATCCTCTTGGTCTTACATATCTGAACTCGAGATTGTGCGTTGGATCAACAGTTTCACCCAAGTCAAACCGACACTAAGGCCCTCGATAGGCTCGACGATCTCGAAGCGGACGATCTCTGGCTCGACGACGAATACGAGCAAGAAGAAGAGGGGGAGGAAGAGTAATGAGATGGGGGGAGGAGGACGGGAGCGATTTCCGGAATGGGTCTTACCCGTAGTGGTCGAGCGTGGGGTGACGGAGATGATCCGGGCGATCAGTCGGTGGCGGGGGGAAGGCTTCCTAGGGCTATGGAAGGGCCAACTGACGGCGTTCGTCATCGACACCGCCTCGGCGAAGGTCCAGCCGGTGTTCTTGAGCGCGCTCTCCTTCTTCGCCTCCGCCGCCAATCTTTCAACCTCCACCACCAACCTCAGTACCAGTCTTCTTCCGCTCGAGCATTATGCCTATCCCGGACTACCGCTCGCACTCGCCGTCGGCTCCTATCTCGCCACAGGACTTCTGCTCGCCCCCTTGGACTTGATCCGCACCCGGCTCATCGTCCAAAGCTCCCAACTCCGTCATCGCACCTATTCCGGGCCCCTCGATGGCCTCAAGAAGCTCCTCCACGACTGTCGTACCAAACATCCCGGCGGCGGAATCAAGAGCCTCTTCCTCTCCCCCACCCTCTTCTTCCCCGCCTTCCTCGATAACTTACTCAGACCGCTTTTCCATCTCGCCACGCCTCTGTTCATCGATCGCTATTTGAACCTCGATCGCTCCCACGATCCGGTCCGATTCGCCCTGGCCGAATTCGCCCTCTCCTCAACCGCGCTCCTGTTCCTCTTGCCGCTCGAAACGATCCGAAAACGTCTCCAACTTCAATTTCCCTCTTCTTCCCCTGCTTCTTCTTCTTCTTCTTCAAATCTGGACGATGATCATAGTGGGGATAGTGGGTTTAAGGCGTGTGTGAGACTGAGACCTCGGCCGTATAATGGGATCGTGGACGCCGTCTATCGGATCATCGTCGAAGAAAAATCGGGCTTGGGCGCCCTCTTTCGTGGTTTCAACGTCGGAGTCACCGCTAACTTTCTCGTCTTTCTTTTGACCGTCGTTGGGAATCATCCAACTCATCATTCTGCCGGTACCCTCTTTTCTTCTACTGGGAACGGTGGGAGTGGTGGGTGGGCTGAGGTTTAATTTTTTTTTTCCTTCTTTACTTTTATTTTGTTTGGTTTCTTATCTTCCACATATTATTTATTTGATTTTTGGATTTTACTTTTTCGTTTGTTTGGTTGGTTGGTTGGTACGATTACTTACATATTGATTTATTTTAATCAATCTTTCTTTTCATGTTTGATCAACTCAATCAATCACTCAATCACCCCCACTCAATCAATCAAGAATAATTTCAAATGTTCCCTGTTGTAAGATTCATCTTACATATTTTGTACAAGTCACCACTCTAGTTTTCTCTTTTTATTTTATTTACATCTTAATCAAAAAAACCATGCATTGCATTTTTTTTTCTTCTCATGGTATGGATGAAGTTGTTGGGATGGGGTCGAGACTTTTCGATCCTTTGCCTGGAAATAATCTTAGATCGTATTGGAATCAATGGTTGTTTCCTTCTGTCGTATCGGGAAACAAGTCAACCATATGATTCAATTCTTACTTGATCATCAGGAAACACTTGTTTTGGAAAAACCTTATAAAAGTCTGACATTGAGACGGTCAAAATAAAGAATACAGACTTCTTCTTTACTTCCTTCATGACTTCTTCTTTATTTCCTTAGTAGAAAAGATGAAATTGGGTGTTATCTTTATTTGATTAAAGATATAGGAATCAATATATATATAGAGAGAGAGAAATCAAACAATGTCCTCATACGTCGTGACTCTCTTAACAAGGTTTCATAAAGGATGGATCAAAGAGAAAGAGATGGAAAACAAGAGCCAGAAGCTCTGAAGAATGATATTCGATAGCGGGCGGACAAGCCAAGTAGAGCTCCCTCAGCGCTGCGAAAGCCAGAGCAATCTAGTAGTCACTCCCTTCGTCTTTCTTGTGGCCTCCATGATGGGTGCCCTCCTCCTTGATGGTGTCAGAATAGTCGGCCTTGCCCTCGTGCTTGCTTCCGGCCTCATACTTCTTTGCGGCCTCGTATTTGGATCCCGACTCGTATTTGGATCCCGACTCGTAGTGAGCCCCGGACTGGTATTTAGCGCTGCTAGACTCGTGCTTGGCTCCAGCCTCGGATTTGGCTCCAGAGTCGTACCCCGAGTCGTTCTTCTTGCCAGAGTCAGACTCGTGTCCCGCGCCGTAATATTTCGTTCCAGAGTCATAATGCCCAGCGGCAGAGTCGTCCTTCTTCCCAGACTCGTATCCCGAGTCGTACTTCTTTCCAGAGTCAGACTCGTGTCCCGCGCCGTAATATTTCGTTCCAGAGTCATAATGCCCAGCGGCAGAGTCGTCCTTCTTCCCAGACTCGTATCCCGAGTCGTACTTCTTTCCGGAGTCGTATTTGACTCCAGAGTCGTACTTCTTTCCGGAAACCTTGTAGTCCACGCCATAGCCGTGGCTGGAAGATGAACCGTAGGAGCTTCCTTTGCCAGAGTCGTGACCTTTGCCCTGGGAGTCGTGCTTGTCGCTACCATAGTCCTTGCTAGAATCATAGGAGCCCTTGCTAGAATCGTAGGAGCTCTTGGTAGAATCGTAGGAGCCCTTGGTAGAATCGTAGGAGCCCTTGGTAGAATCGTAGGAGCCCTTGGTAGAATCGTAGGAGCCTTTGTTGGAATCGGAGGAGCCCTTTCCAGAACCGTAAGAGCCTGAGTCGTAGGAGCCCTTGCCAGAGTCGTAGGAGCCCTTGCCAGAGTCGTAGGAGCCCTTGCCAGAATCATGGTTGTAGTCCTCCTTTCCTGAGTCACCGTAGTGCTTGTAGGAAAGATAGCCGTAGCCGGCTTGCAATTTTTCCCCTTGGTGGGTGTTTGAGTGATGCGCGTCGTAATTTCGGCGACCGAGCGCGGCACCTTTCAGACTGCGGCCAAGGAACGATGTACTTCAGCATCTAAAACCGTCGAGATCTAATATTATCAAGTCTCTTCAATAGAGGAAACGTTGCTCACGCCTGGGGGTCTACTGCTCCGTGTCTGGCCGACAAGCCATTTGCGGATGTGGACGATGGAAATTGGCCTGTGAGAGATTCAAGAAGATTCAAGGTCAAAGGCACGCCGCACCACCAAGTTCAACCCAAGAAAATATAGAATTGGAGGAGGGAAAATTTACCAAAAAACAGGCCGATCGCTAAGGTGATCACACTTGGTACAATCATCTTGAATCTGTCTGTCAATTTAAAATCACAAAAGTCAGGTTATAACCACTATCTGCTTGGCTTTTACAGATGAAAATAAAGACTAACATACCAGTTTGGAGCTGTTGTTCAGTTTCCTTGGAGGAGTAGTGCTTGAAGTGGGAATAACGGTGTTGGAAGCTTGGGTAAGTAAAGGTATGCTTGGAAGCTGGGGAAGAAGGAAAAAGGCGTCTGGTGGCCTCGTATTTATATGTTTTCCGATCCATAATATGTGACGCTGGACTTTCACTACCATTGCCCTTCGTGGAGGCAGGTCTCGTGAGTACCACGTTCGTGGTGCTGCTGAACAGAGTCTTGGCGCAAACAATTCTGTCAAATGATTTCTAAATATTCATCAAAGATGAGGTGTTTTGTACTACTATACCACAAATCCTCCTGAATTCAATCAGAATGATCCTTCACACAAGGCATGTACCGAGTTGACCAAGTAGTATATACCCAAGGACGACATTGACCTGCCGCTTTGAAGTTTTTCGATCTTGATCTGTTGAGCTCTTACAAATAAAGGTTTTCTGTTTGTAGTTATATAAGCAGGGAGTAAGCAGAGTAAATCGAAAGTTAAAAGAACGGTGTTTACGTTGGTTTGGAAGCTAAGAATAAGGGGGATTGGTGGTGTAGACACTGGGTAGCTGAGCCTTCATCGAAGGGATGGAGGCGGCAGGAGTCATGGATGCATCATGGTGGCCGCTGATCGTACGATCACAAGAAAGCTTTGAATAACGAGCAGATGGGTTTCCGACACCGAAAGTGTCAAGGAGACTTTGCTTTGTATTATTAACCCCTTCAAGTCAGGAGTATACAAAATTTTTAGGGTGATCGGGAAGTTTTTAGCTTACAATTGTAATCCTTCATGGTGCTTCGATCGGGACTTGGGGTGTTGATGTTTTGAGGGGAGGAAATATTTAACTTCATGTTGCGCTGAGGAAATACATTCATGGAAAAACATCGACAAATCTGTGTCTGTTCCTTGTTTTTAGCTTTCTTTTTTGGAACTTTAATAGCATTTTGTTGAGTATCCCAGTTATTTGAGGAAAGCGTAGGTTGAGAAAGAACCGATCGAAGTTGCAAATCCTTCTTGACGGTATATATTTTGGTTTTGCAACTCACCCCCAGAACTTAGAAAGACCTTCTCGCATACCTCCAGAGAGAAAACTGAATGGCTGGAGAACAGAGTTGCACGCTGGTACGACACTTGAGCATCTCCTGGAAGTTGTTTCGGCCATAGCTGTGCAAGTGTTGCGTTTCCTTGCCTCGGTCTCATGTCCCTACAAGAGCTTGATTCGGCCGTGATCAAGTGGTTTCTATTGAGCTCTCTTTTACTTCCTCTGAAATCAACATGCGGCTTTTTTTGTCATGTTGGCGGCACCGCGCTGTGAAGCGCCTTGCTCCGAGCGGCTTTCAGACACACCGGGCCTATCAGTAGGCAGAGGGGATTTGCAAGTGGACTAGGTAGGGGAAGCCGGAGGCGCTGACGCCGTCTCTGATGATCGGCTCCAAGGACCAGACTAACAATCGAATCCCTGCCAAATTCCGAAATATTTTAAAGCTAGTCGGAAGTAATGGCTCGGGTGAGGCGATTGCAATGTCATCACCACTTGCACACCCGTCCGACCTGCCAAGAAAGGATTGGCCCGGCAGCTCTGGCCGAGCAGACACAGCTCCGTCCCGTCGGCGTCATGGGACGGCCCGCACGGAAATGCGAAGGCTTGATATGGCCTAACCGCTACGGCTGAGTAGCAAGGGCACGTGTAATACTCCGAATTGAACTCACAGGCGCTTCGACACAGCTCTGTCCCGTCAGCGGTTTGCGGCGGCCCAGCCACAAATACCCGTGCTGGATTCTCGCCCAGCCGCTATGGCCGAATTGGGTGCTATTCTGAATCAAACTGACAGCCGCCCGGCCACTGACTCGTCCCGTCCGCGGCTCGGGACAACCCAAGTTAAGATGTGGAGGCTGAAAATGGCCTACCGGCTATGGCCGAGCTGGGCGAGAATGTCTGCTATTCCGATTCAGACTGCCAGGCGCTCGGACAAAGCTGCCTCCCGCCGACGGGTCGGTACCTGGACGGCCTGATTCAGAATACCGAGCATGAAATGGCCCAGCCGCTATGGCCGAGCTGGGCAGGGATGTGCGTTATTGCGATTCAAACCGACGGGCGCTCAAGCCTCGGACTCATCCCGCCCCGCCAGCGCTCATGACGGCTATAAAGCTACACCTTCAGTCATTCCATCATCCCCATCCATCTCACTTGACCACAACCCAACCACTATCCACCTTTATTCCCAAACCAAAACCAATCTCCACCTCAGATCAACCAACCCCCACACGCTTACTAACCTTCTTCTGATCCAAGCCATCCCCCAAACTTGTATCTTTATCCGTACCGTATTCTTCTCCATTTATCCTTGTCTTGGTTTTAGGAACACGTCTTCATCCATTGTTTACTCAATCAATGATTTCTCGCTTTACCTGATGCCCAAGAGGGCAGCCCCCGTGTGTCCCCCTTGCCAATCCGGTACTCTCCCATCGGTCTTCGAAGACGATGAGGATGATGAGATTGCGCATACCATAAGTGTCCTCTCAAAGGCCAACAAGCTCATCAAAAAGATCCTCATCCGAACCAAACTTCCTCCTCGAGTGAAATCATCTCATTCTAACTTTTTCTCTCCCAGTCGTCTTCGTTCTCTTACTTTATCTTCTCAAAGTTCTCGCCTCGCTACTCAAAGCCTTCACTCTAGTAACTCCGATTGATCTATTTCTTTTCCATTCTGTATATCCAAAAAAAGTCTATAGTTCTGTTTTGTCTGCTTATTTTGGGAAATCTGTTTTGGTTTTTCTTGATCCTCTATTATTCTCTTCTCAATTTGGTCTGTTCCTCTATCAGTTTCTATTCCTTTTCTAAGTTCTTTTCCCTTCGTCCTTTTCTTTGATGGTAAGATTCATGTGCAAGTGGGCAGTGTATCTACCTGTTTGGCAAAAATTCACCTTGATAGGGGAGAAAACTTGATTTTTGAGGAGATTTTCTTGTCAACTGCAAGAAGGTGAAGCTCCGGTTTACACAGAGGAAGCCTCTTTGACAAGCAGGCCTGGATCTCCGCTTGAAAAAGAGGAAACCTCTTTGACAAGCAGGCCTGAACCTCTGCTTCCCAAGTTGACAAGCATGTGAAGCTCTTTTTGCCACAAGGTAAATTCTGTAAACACAGTTCAAGCTGTACTTTTCATAGAGGTAACCTTCTTGACAAGTAGATAAAACTCTGCTTAATGGAAAAGAAACATCTTAAACAATCAGATGAAAATCACATTGCCAAAAAGGAGTGCAAACCTCTTCCACATGCAGATTAAGATTTGAATTCCAAAGAAAAACCTTGTGGAAAAGGAGGTGGAGTGGGAAGCTGAATCAATCCCTAAACAGAAGGCCTTTCCGTGATTTTTGGTCCTTTGGAATGTTTCCTTTTGGAAAAGTGGGTCTTCTGATGTGATGAACAGACACTAAGGTGTGATGGCTGTGAAAGGATAGATATTAGATCAATATAGGAGAGAACAATCAACACTAGAGAGAAGAGAGAAAAAGAAAAAGAAACCAAAAAACAACATACCTGGGGTGTGATGGTTGTGAAAGGATGAGGGACAAATCCTTACACATCATCATCCCCAAGTATAACTAGATTAGTGCTACATGTGAGTGAAAGGTGAAAAGCACAGACTGAGAAAGGAATACACAACATGTGAAGCTCAACATCTTCCACTGATTTTCATAGAGGTTTCCTGTTCAGCAAGAAGTCATGTAAGGGCTTACTCCCTTCACTGAATTCTTATGGATGGAACCTTGGTGCTGAGGGAGACGTTCTAGAAACAAAAACGGATTATTTTCTTATTCTAGCCCAGCAGTTATGATAATGAAGTAAAAGTCTCTGGTGAGCTAGGAGGGGGAACAGGGTGATGAGTGTTGAAGTAGCCAGTGAGTCTTAATTATGTGATTGCCTTGTGAGACCTTCAGAGAGGGGTTTCAATTTTGAAAAGATACCATCCCAGGAATGTCAATAATATGAGCATATATTAGTTCATATCCTCTATAAGCATATTATTGATAGATTAGATTCACAAAATTGTACTCAGTTTCACACAGTAGTCTATACCTAATTGATACTTTATATAGTTCTCCTAACTTGTTGTTTGTTGTTCTCTAACCAAAAGTATCATTCTGTCTCACTACCTGCTCACATGTCTGCTACAACCATTATAGGTCTGTTTCTATCTTTCTCATCTGCTCAAGTCCCAGATTTCTTCTCATTTCTTCCCATTTTTACAGGTTTGTTCTTTGTGTTCATCATCTCTGCGCATCTGTTTGCTTGTGACTCACCCACATCAATCCTATCAAGGTGTTCTTGATATTCAACCAAAAGTATCACTCCGTCTCACTACCTGCTTACATGTCTGCTACAACCATTATAGGTTTGTTTTTTATGTTTTTCATTGCTGTGTATCTGCTTTCTTGTGACTCACCCACATCAATCCGTAGGCAAGAAATGTTGCACAAAAGAAAAAATAATAATAACAGGGGCAGGAAGTGAGAAACACTATTGTGAACTCCCCTATTTAACTTGATTAATTGGCCATCTTTTAACAGGGAGACAAGAGACATTTCAGTTCATTTGAAAAATTAAATGAAATATTACCCAAGATCTTTGTTCTCATCAATCAAATTCTCCATCATTCCAGGAACAACTGTTGAGCAGTCAATCATGAAATAGGGCACATAAAAATATTTCTTGAAATTCAATGAAGCCAATTACATAGTGATTTACTTTTTCTTCAGCAAATGTTTTCTCATCTTTGAGAGGAGAGAGACTTAATAATCTCCAGTATATTGCAAACCTCTTCTGGACATAAATTACAAGGCTTCTTCCCTGGGAGTGAGAGAGATGAGTAGATAGGTGGATAAAAAGAAGAAAAAAGATCAAGGGATACTCAGAGAGCAAAATGTTCTAAGAGACCTTTGATAGATATAGTGCTAATCAAAAAAAGAAAGAAAAAAGTGTGAAACTAGTAGTGGCCCTTAGCATCTTGCTTGTAGTCATTACTGTATCCCCCATGCTTCCTATCATCCTCATCACCTTTCTTCTCAGAGTAGTCCGAACCTCCGTGGTGTTTGGAGCTATCATATTTTGAGTTTTGGCTGTTGTGCTTTTCAGTTGAATCATTTTTCTTGCCGGACTCTTGGTGGCCTTCGCTAGACTTCTTTTCATTGTATTTCCCGTCGACCTTGTAGTATTTCTTTTCATTGTATTTCCCTTCGACCTTGTAGTCTTTCTTTTCCTCGTGTTTCCCCTCGTCCTTGTAGTCTTTCTTTTCATCGGATTTCCCCTCATCCTTGTAGTTTTTCATGTCGTATTTTCCATCGTCCTTGTAGCTTCTCTTGTGGTATTTGGTATAGCCTTCTTTCTTGTCAGAATAGTTGGATACGCCTTTGTCAGAGCCGTAATTGTTGTCCTTGTATTCATATTTTTTCTTGACGGAGCTCGATTCTTTTTTATCAGACTCATAGTTGAAACTCTTCTTTTCGATAGCGTAGTCCTGATGAGAGTCGTAGGAACTCTTGCCGGAATTGTAAGAGCCCTTGCCGGAATCATACGAGCCCTTTCCGGAATCATACGAGCCTTTACCGGAATTGTAAGAGCCCTTGCCAGAATCTTGGTTGTAGTTAACGTTTCCTGAGTATCCCTTGGACATGTAGCCGTAGCCAACATGATCTTTTCCCCCTTTGCGAGAGTTTGAGTGATGATGATCGTAATTTCGGCGACCGAGTGTGGCACCTTTCAGACTGCGCCCAAGAAAATAAATTTCAGTATCGAAAGGGGGGGGGGGGAACCAGAAAAAAGTGTTGGATGTAAGAGAATTGTTGCTCACGCTTGGGGTCCTACTGGTTCGTGTCTTGCTGACAAGCTGTTCGCGGATGTGGACGCTGCAAATTGGCCTGTGAGAGATTGAAGAGAAGTGAACACCAACTTCAACCCAAAAATATGTAACTGGATGAAGGAAAATTCACCAAAAAAGAGGCCGATTGCCAAAGTAATTGCACTTGGTAGGATCATTTTGAATATTTCTTCTGATTGAAAAGGGAAAATTTCAGGTTATTAGGAAGGCAAGAACAATTCTCTGGGACTTGATATATGAAATCAAAGACGAACATACAAGTGTGGAGTGCGTTTTAGCTTTACAATTTTATGTACGAACACTTTTCCGTTTTCGGGCTGGAAGCTTGCGGTGAGTAAGAGATGCTTGGAAGCTGGGGAAGAAGGAAAAGGCGTGGAGTAGCCTCTTATTTATATGTTTTCCAGTCCTATAGGTGTTGCATTGAATTTTTGATGTTGTCGGCCTTGAATCATGGTTCATGAGTACCATTTGCGCGCTTAGCAGATTTTGGATGCAAACAATCCTGTCAAATGATTCCTAAATATTAATCAAAGATGATGTTCTATCTATCACCAGTCCTCCTGAATGCAGTCTTAATGATCCTTCACACATGGTACGCCAAGGACGCAGTAATTGAGTCGGGTTAAAGTTTTTCGATCTTTTTCTGTTCATCTCTTACAAATAATGCTTGGCTGCTCATGGCCGTAGCAAGAAGGAAGTAAAGTAAAATGTCAGGCTAAAGAAACTGAATGACAGTATACGTTGGTTTGGGAGCTACAAATGTAAAGGTGCATTATTGATGTTGGCACCTGAATATTAAGTTCCCAAATCTCTGTGAGCTGAGCCTCTAACGAAGGGTTGGAAGCGGCATGTGGGCATCGATCATGGTCAATGCCGATTGTGCGATCAAAATAAGACTTTGAATAATGAGAAAATGGGTTCCTGCCTAAGAATGAAGAAGGTTTGAATATAGACCATGCTTTGCCGAAGTCCTTTTTGACGCAGTTGGGAGTTGCAACTCATTACTCACCCTCAGGGCTTAGAAAGGGCTCCTGTGAAGCACAGAGAAAGAGCTGACCAGCGGAAGAATCGAGATGCATGCTGGGATACGCCTTCAGACCAACTCCTGAAAGTCTTCTTGGCCGTAACTGTGCCCGTGTTGCGTTTTCATCCGTCCATCTTAAGTGCAACAGCTTGATTCGGTCAAGTGGTTTGATACGACGTCGGGCCAGTCGACTCCTGTTCGCCAGAGATCGCAAAGTCGTTTCCTTTGGTGCCGGTTCATCTCACTCTGGAGATCGGATGCCGAATGCATTGTAATCGGCGTGGAAAGCTCATCATGTCGAGGCCAACAAATAAAAAAAAATCCAGAAACGATTCTGTCCCGGCCTATCAATACGCATTCGGTGGGTTTGACAAGTGTGCGGCGAGGCCGCTTGTGAGCCGAGGTGCTGCCCAAATCTGATCTGCTTCGGGAATCCAAGCCATGCCGAATGTGAAAAGCCAACCGATATTAATTTGCAATTGGTCCGGTCTCATTCTGAATGAGACTGCCGATCGCGAGCGGATCGGGAACAGTGGCTCGATTTAGCCGAGGTGATTGAGGAATGTCTCTTATTCGCATTCCAACTGACAGAGGCTCAGACACAGCTCCTCCATACCGCAGCGGCTGATGGCCCCAGCTAGGATACTGAGGGTGAGTTTGGCGCAGACCCTTTGGTCAAGCTTGGTTAGGAAAATGCGCTGTTTTGATCAGGCAGCTCCGTCCTGTCAGCGGCTTTGGATAGTCCGATTTTGGATACGAGATGGCCCCGCCGCTATGGCCGAGCTGGATCGGGGATGTGTGCTATTCTGAATAGAACTGACGAGACATGCGCCCGGACACTGATTCGTCCCGTTCGCGGCTCGGACGGCCAAAATGAATATCGAGGTGTGTTACGACCGAGCTGGGCGAGAATGTGAGCTGTTCCGAATCAGACTGGCAGGCGCTCAGGCACAGTCCCGTCCCGCGGCCGGCTCGGTAGCTGAGCGGTCGAATTCAGAATACCGAAATGGCCCGGCCGATGTAGCCGAGCTGGTCAGGCATGTGTGCTGTTTCGAAATAAACTGACGGGTGGTCAGACCCATCCCCGCCCCCAGCGTTCAGGACGGCCCGAAACAAAATGTAGAGGCTGAGAGCTGAAGGTCCATGGCCGGCCGGATCCTCCACGGCCACGCCTATATAGCTAGACCTTCCAGGCAAAGTTATGTCGATTCATCCCACTCAGTTATCCAACTTTCTTCCAAAACCCAAACCAACCTACACCTCAGCCCCCCCCCCCCCCTCAAAACCCACCTCGCCTACTAACCTTCTTCCGATCCAAGCCATCCCCCAAACTTGTATCTCTATCCCTACCGTATTCTTCTCCATTTACCTTTGTCTTTATCTTAGGAATATGTCTTCAGCCAATGTTTACTCAATCGAGGATTTTTCGCTTTACCTAATGCCCAAGAGGGCAGCCCCCGTGTGTCCCCCTTGCCAATCCGGTACTCTCCCTTCTGTCTTTGAAGACGATGAGGATGATGAGATTGTGCAAACCTTAAGTGTCCTCTTAAAAGCCAACAAGCTAATCAAAAAGATCCTCATCCGAACCAAACTTCCTCCTCGCGTGAAATCATCCTCTTCTAACTTTTTCTCTCCCAGTCGTCTTCGTTCTCTTACTTTATCTTCTCAAAGCTCTCGCCTCGCTACTCAAAGCCTTCACTCTAGTAACTCCGATTGATCTAATTACTTTCCATTCTGTATATCCAAAAAACAAAAGTCTATAGGTCTGTTTTGTCACCTTATTTTGGGAAATCTGTTTTGGTTTTTCTTGATCTTCTATTATTATCTTCTCAATTTTTTACAATATGTTACTGTTTGTCTTTTTCTTCTTCTTCATTTTCTCTTTTCTTACTGCTTTGCTCCTTCTTCTGTTTCTTGAGAGAGAGAGAGAGGAAAAATGTGCAGCAAGTAGGTAGGAACATAATGTATCTGCTTGGTGGGTAAATTTCATCCTTTCTACCCACTCTGTGGGGGATTCTTATTCATCAAGCGGATGAAAACCTGATTGTTGAGGAGCTTTGCTCTCCATAAAGCAGGTTAATACAAGTACCTGCTTATGGAGGAGGCTTCCTCCACGTCAAGCAGGTATTTGCTGGTTGAGGAGGTTCTCAAACAGGTATTTGCTGGTTGAGGAGGCTTTTCAAGCGGTATTTGCTGGTTGAGGAGGCTTCTCAAGACTCAAGCAGGTATTAACCTGCTTGTAGAGGAGGATTGATTCTTTTTGAAGAGGCTTCTCAAGCAGTTATTCACCTGCTTGTTGAAGAGGCTTCTCAATCAGGTATTCAACTGCTTGTTGAAGAGGCTTCTCAAGCAGTTATTCACCTGCTTGTTGAAGGGGCTTGTCAAGCAGGTATTCACCATACCTGCTTGTTGAAGAGGCTTCTCAAGCAGTTATTCACCCGCTTGTTGAAGGGGCTTCTCCAGCAGGTATTCACCATACCTGCTTGTTGAAGAGGCTTCCCAAGCAGGTATTCACCTGCTTGCTGAAGAGGCTTCCCAAGCAGGTATTCGCCTGCTTGTTGAAGAGGCTTCTCAAGCAGGTATTCACCTGCTTGTTGAAGAGACCTCTCAAGCAGGTATTCACCTGCTTGTTGAAGAGGCTTCTCAGGCAGGTATTCACCTGCTTGTTGAATAGGCTTCTCAAGCAGGTATTCACCTGCTTGTTGAGGGTGTTTCTCTGGAGAGCAGGTTGTTTGTTGAGGAGGGTGTTTCTCTGAAAATAAGTTAATCAACTTCTTCTTGAGGAGGGGGTTTTTCTGGAGACCAGGTATTCAACTGCTAGTTAAATAAAAGGGTTTCTCTGGAAAGCTGAAATTTCAATTCATTTTCATGAGGATTTATAGGATTCCTCCCAGAATGGTTTTCACTTTTTGTAAAAAGTAAGAGTCTTATCTGCAAATTTACTGGGGGATTTATAGATCATTGTAAGTTAACCTTAAAATATTCAATTCATCACAACCTTTCAAAAATGGTCATTTATAATTTTTGATTTCTCCTTCCAACATCTTATCAGAGAAATCAAACTTGAATAAATCAACAAAATCAATCAAATTTGAACTGTGAAAGAATCTTGCCAAACTGGCGGCAGTTTCCAGTTGATTGGTGTCCTCTTTCCATCAATCATTCAGACATTTTACTTCCCTCCCTATTTTGATGAATTCTTGTGTTATTTCCTTCATCTATTTTCTTTGGAATAATCCCTCTTTTGGTCAGTCAATGAACAACAAGAAGCAAGCCTCACATTGGTTTTAAAAAGATTCCATTTTGATCAAAACAATGGTATTCTTCTAGTCTCTACATCTCTAGAATTCATGTCCTTAATCTTAAAGATATTTGAGGGAATGTACAGTGCCCTCCCAGATTTATATAGCCAATTTGTTTGGATTACACAACCCTAACCCACCAACTTGCAATCATGAGACTTGGGCAAGTGGTATAAAAGAGGTTTCAATATTAAGACTTTTGAAAAAAGTGCAATAATTGTAATATTTTTTGAAAATTTTGAAAATTCGTTTTTCATACTTTTGTTTTCAGAATCATTTTTTCAAACCTCTTTTATACCACTTGCTCAAGTCTCATGATTGCAAGTTGGTGGGTTAGGCTTGTGTCATCCAAACAAAATGGCTATATACATCTGGGAGGGCAATGTACTTAGAAAATTGAGACCTGTTTGCTTTTGAATGTCAGAACAATTTCCTAGGTTCTCAGTTTATTTCTCTACTTGCTGCCCTGTTTTCCTGTCCCCTATCTTATGCTTTAAGTTTCCTTCACAGTGTTTCTCCTGTTCCAGTCCTGAATTTATCGTTGGAATACCCCTGATTCTCCCCCCCCCCCTGCCCCTCTTCTCCAAATGAAACCTCCTCCAGTCAGAGTATGTTTTCCTTACTCAACCACTCAAAAATAGGAACAATCCACTAGCTCCTCGTTACAAACTTCTCTCTTTCTCAACCTGATCAGTTCAAGCACTGAAACCACAACTAATTCTTGTTTTAGTGTTAATGATTACTGTTGCTATTAGTGCAGTGGACCCAAAGCTATTTTCTCAAAAAAAGGTGGTTTGGGACCACCTTCTTTGGAAAGACTAGGAGAATGGATGAAGATGGAGGAGTAACATGCTGTTAAGTGCAAGGTTTCACATTCATCCCTGTTTTTTGTATTTCATATTGATGGAGTAGGCAGATGCTATCTACCTAGCATCTGGGACCAATCCGAGCCCCTCCTCCCCAGATTTTTTTTTAGATCATGGTCACTTCTGATGACCTTGAACAAAAAAAAGATGCAATTTTTGTTGGTACATAATTGACATCAACGTGGCACCCAAACTTCAAGATAAAACATTCTAGCTTATGCACGCATGAGACGGTGACGCGGTCTTAAAATATTTCATTGGCCAAAGAAGAATTGCTGATGATCAGGTTTTACGCAGCTGGGTTTTGGGCTGCTTGTACAGATCATGAAGATGCAGCAGTTGGACCTCCACCAAGTATTTATGTGCTAGTTGATCGAACTTCATGTACTTTTCGTTTGGTTTGTGGGGTTCACCAGGGGAAATTCCAGGGCACTGGTCAGCCAGTGACTACATGTCACCATAAAATCAGAAATACTTTCCCTTAAATCACTTGGATGTGGAAAATAAAACTCACATACTTTTCACAGTTGCGGATTCTGATTTTCCCTCACTTTTCACCAAAGATTAATTTGAAGTTCCTCATGAAAAATCATAAAAGTCACTAGCTTCACCCAAGAGATGAATTTTTGAAGTCACTGGAAGTTCAGAGAAGTGATTGTTTTTCTGCTGATGATATATGTTTTGCTGGAGAATTATTTTTATCTGATGCTAGATCTGCAGCCATCACAAAACATATTTAGACTGTCTCAGATCAGGTGAGTATTTGTAGATTTAGAAACTCTCAAATCAGATCAAACTTCATAATTCTATACCTTCCAAGACAAATTCTAAAATTGAAATCCTTTCAGATTTAAAAATAGTAATCCATTACTAAAAAAATACAATTTTTATCAAAACAGTTTTAAATTCCATTCAAATAAACTGAATTTCAATCAACTCCTTGGATATTTACAGAATAAAATTAATAAACTGAATTTCAATCAACTCCTTGGATATTTACAGAATAAAATTAACAATTCACATTTGGTATTCAATGCATTCTTGAGAGTTTGGTCTGTATATGATTGAGATAAGACCTAAGAGCATAATTTTTCATTCAGAGAAAAAAGATAAGTAAAGCTTTGTCAATAGAAATAAATCATTTTTCACATATAATGCACAATGACAGTCAATATCATCACAGGTAATAATCTCTTGATGAGAAGTGGGACGTGCTTGGTAAATATTTAAATGTGGCCAACCAGGCATAAAGGAATCATTTATATCCAAAGTATTTATCACCATAAAGTAGTCAGTTATTTTCTGGAAGGGATCATTCACGGTAAATATCTTGATTATCTTTCCAAATTTTGAAACACCATTTTTAAAATAAGATACAATACTGTTTCCTTGGTGCTTTTCAAATATTGTGAAAGTTTTATTTTTCCAATGAACTGATTTGTGATAAACCCACCATGGGGAAACTGCAAAGTGATTTCCACTTTGTCCTGGGTTTGCTTGACTTGAGTATACCCAATTTATACTTGGTTTTACTTTCCTTAAGTATTCCACAAAATATTTGTATATGCTTTCTTCAGCCTGAATAGGGCTTCCTGAGGTACTATTGGAGCTTGATTCAACATGTGTTTCCAGAAAACTAGATATCTCTTTCACTTCAGGTGGAGCTGTGGGCAACTTAACCAAAGACTTTAAATTTGAAATCCTACATATATGTTGAAGAATAGTTAATGGAATTTGATCTGCATAGAAACAAAAAATTAGTTCTGAAATTGTGAAACAAACAATGAATAGAAGCTCACCAACTGAGTTGTTGTTGCCAAAGCTTGAAAAAATTCCATTAAGTCTTTCATAAGCCCATGTGGCACAGGATGGGGCAGGTCCCCAGCACATAAAAAGTTCAGGGATATGAGTTGACATGTGGTGATTTGGCTTTGCATCTACATCAGGATACATTTTTCTACTGATCTGGCGGTACTTTGCCCAATGTCTTGTGAAATCAGCACCAGATTGTGAGTTAGTGGTCCAACTAGTTGAGATATTCAGAGAGCTGATGAGATGAAGAGTATTATGATAAATATCCTCTGGAAAAGGTTCTTTTTCTTTTTCTTTGATAATCATTAGCATTGGAATATAAAGCTTGTAAAGGAGTAACCATTCAGCTGCCTTCAAGCTTCCATGGGTTTTATCCCCAATATTCTTAGGCACTCTTGTCCAGTCTGAGGGGATTGATGTTTGATTGATTAATTCTCGCAAACATTCCAAAAGTTCAGGGTTAAACTTGAAGTAAGTGGGTGAATACTGATTTGTATCAGGTTGAAATTCTGAGCTTGGATTATCTGTTGAAATTGGTACATAGTCCAGGTCATCATGATATCTTTCAGTCAGATTTGATGTTGGGGGTAATACGTTTTTTCCCTTCTGAGATGGAGTGTGTTGACTTGTACTGGCTACTGGATTTGGTTGAACCCTTTTTGCAGGAAGATTATGAAGATCATCTGCTGCTTCTCTGCGCAAGACTCTTGCAGCCCTTGAATCAATATGTTTTTCAGTGTAATGATAAAATATTTCCTCTTCACTTTCTGAATCATCAGAGCTTCCACTATCTGTGTCTTTTGATTTTTTGACACGATCCTTCCAATCTTTTGGTGCAAGTCGCAGTTTGTTCTCAGCATGGTCCCTCAATGCTCCCAGAATCATGTTGTGCATTATGTCCAGATTAATCATACGTGTTGCATCCCAGTAAGGAAGTTCTTCAAGTATTGAGTAGCGCACACCAGTCTCTTTGAAAATATCTTCACGCTCTTTTTTTGAGCTAGCATTGAGCCATTTGGTAACATTTTCCTTGTGTTCTCGAAGGTTTCTTGCTTCCCATGAGAAAGGCTGGACTATATTCCTATCTTCCTTGGAAATAGTGCAGAAATTGCAGAACATTGTTGCTGAATGCCCTTTGAATCCAGAAATTTTCCTGATTGCTGGAAGGTCAGCAATCACTGTTAACATGGCAACTCTAATTTTGGCTCCTTGTGGGAATTTATATGTTTGGGAAAAAAAAACACCTTCCCAAAGCTCCTTGAGCTCTTGAATAAGTGGAACTAGTAAGTTGTTCAATTGAGGTCCGTCTGGCTCCTTGGGTCCGGGAAGGATTGCTGCAACATACACATTTTCAGGTTTGAGGCGCTTCTCTGGTGGGAGGTCCAAGCATACAAGTATCAAGGTTCCAAGACTAGCATGTCGGCTTGACTTTCCAAAAGCATTGAACCAGTCAACATAAAGTGAAAAGGCCAAGTTGCCAGTTTCAGACAAGAATGGATGTCTCTCATTTTTTCCAGAAAATTTCTTCCAGATGTATCCATCCCAAATATCTGTCATTGTTGTTTTTGGTTCCTGTTGAAGATGTATTGAAAGATCCTCCTCAATTCCAGGCTGTAGCAGAAATCTTGCCAACCAGCTCTTGAAAGGTTGATAAACAAAGTGCTTGATTGCCTCAAATTTGGCTTCTTGTTTCCCTCTTGGTTTCTCCTTGACATTGGTTGAGGTTTTCATCTTGCCAATTTGTGTTTGGCATGGGCCATCAAGGTCATAATTTTGAAGATGCCGCTGACAGGTTATATTTGGATCAGTTATTTTACTTTCTAATCCTACCAGATATAAGCAATTTGGACAGCATGCATAGATATCTATGTCTGGGTTAAGGTTGAGCTGATCAAAGATAGTTGATGTACTGAGGGGAACTTGACCAAGGTGATCAATTGAGCTTGGAGAAAATTCTGAGACCACTATTCTATTTTGGACATTTAATGCTTTGACAAGAACTCTTGCAGCTTCTCTACTGATATTGTGACACAAATTGAGCATTGAGGTGATAACCATTGGGTAGACTAAATGGCGCTCATTTTGTTTCCAGGAATAGTTGGCCCATTTGTCCGTGAAAAATATTGGAATTTCACTACCAGGATGAGGCTGTTCAGCTGGAGTAATAGAAGTTGGCTGACCAGCTATATTGTATGGTGTTGTTTGAATTAAATGTTGAGCTGAACTTCTCTTGGATGAATGATTTTGGTTTGAGGTGTTGCTGTGATTAAATTCATTTTGAGTGGGTCTAAAGATAGGGTTGGATGTATGAATTTCATATTTGGTTTTGGTGAAGGGAACACCTTGCCTAAGGCCATAAGGGGTCATAAATTGCTTGGTGCCACAGGTTATACATGTGCAAATAACATAGCCACGAGGCAAGGGGGATGTCATTTTACAAGCAGTCAAAGAGTTGTGGGCCAAAATCCTCACAAAGAGTACATCTCTTATATATTCAATCCACATGGAGAACAGGCCAACAGCTATGACAGTTGAAAATTTGGAATTCCTTGTTACACCGGGAAAAATAGAGAGACTTGGAATGTTTCAATTATGCATAGTAGATAAGCAAGTTTTCATTTATTCAAAGATAGGTAAAAGGGTCTGAAACAATTTCAAATTTAAGTTAAGATAGGTGATGTTTTAAGATAAGGAAAATAGTCCGAGACAAATTCTGATTGGAGATAAGATAGATAGTGTTTCAAGACAAAGAAAACGGTCAGGCAAACTGATGAGATGTTGTATAAAATTAAACAGATCTTGTTTGAAGATAAAGTGGTGCCAATATCAAATAGATTTTGTTTAAATATAAGAAAGAGAGAAAACTTTTCTTTAGAAAAAAAAGAAGAAAAAAAGGTAAAAAATATTGCAGAGGGATGGAGAGAACAATTAAATGTTTTGAATTTTAGCTGCAGGGCAATCAGATCTCCTGGGAACATCTAAAATGTGTTCACCTTCAGGTTGGGATTTAAGCCAATGTTCACAAAAGTCAAGTACAATGTATCTGGCAAGATCATAGCGTGAAATAAGAACAGGAGTGAATTCGTTGGAAGAAAAGAAAAAATGATTGATGATAGAACATATATATGCATTTGTTCTCTTCCAAACAGGTTCAATAATTGAATCTTCAGATGGTGGCTCAATCTTGTTTACCATAGCCACAATTGAAATCAACAAGAAACATTTTGATGCTGAAAAGATTGATGAATCGTGAGGAGTTAGAAGAAGCCCACGAACACCAGAAACGCAGAATGAGGCTAGTAATCCATAATGAGGTCGGGAAATGTGTTCAGCTGGAAGTTCGGACCACTGGGGTGAATAGCGCATGAGGGACTGTTCAGATTGATGCATTTTACAGCGAGCTTTGAGGACTGAAAAAGCCAGGAGCATTTGATGAATGATTTCGATAAACTTGTCAAGAGAAGCAAAACTAGTTTTACTTTTACTAGAATTGGATTGGGAAGATTCATTGATTTGATTTGAGTTTTGAGAGTTTGAGAGGCAGCAAATGAAATACTTGATTATTGAAATCTCTGGGCCAAGTTCATTGGTAGGGTCTGTCGGCTTCTCGTATACTGGAAGAGAGTTGATGTCGTTTGAAACAAGCGATACAGCCTGAAAGAAGATTGCAGCCCACTTATGTTGGATCCTATCGGTTGGGTAGCAAAGGATTGTGAAGAGAGAAAATAGTTCAGATCCAATTTCTTGTTTGGCTGAATCTTGGCCACTATTGGTAGGAAAATTCCAAACATCAGGTCGGAAAAACGGTTTGTTTGAGCTTGGTGAAAAAACGTCGGGACCTGTGGTTTTAAAGAGTGAATCATCAGTTGCATTCCAATACCAAAATGAAAAAAATGGAATAGAATGTACCTTCTCGCCTCAGATTCTTAACCCAGCCTTTAAGTGAGGTAGTGCCAAGAGGGTTGAAATGAATTCTTGAAGACAGAGTATTACTATAGCTACTTGCAGGCTCCAATTTTCGTGTCCTTGAGTTATAAAGTTGAATGACAGAATCCAGAGCAGTCTTATATCCTTTATAAGTGATGCTGGTGGAGTAAAGCTGGTGCAGTGATGCTAGAACTTCTCGATGCTTCTTAGTGATTGGAGCTGAGGTGAGGGTTTCAGTTCTGCCGTGGTTTTGATCTTGAGAGGGGTCTTCATTGTTTGCTTGGGTTTTATTAGTTTGGTTGATTGATGTCTCTTCAAAAGTGAGCAAAGTTTCTTCCTGTCCAAGGTGATTTTCCTCTTGACCGATTTGCGTTTCTTCCTCTCGGATTTGATTTTTTTCAGGGTGGATGTCATCTTGGTTGAGTTTAGTTTCCTCTTGATCGGGTTGAGTTTCCTCTTGATCGAGTTGAGTTTCCTCTTGATCGAGTTGAGTTTCTTCTTGATGCACAACATCTTTGTTAAGTTGAGTTTCTTCTGGATGGGTCTGAATTGGTTCTTCGTTTGTCTTTTGATTTTGAGGCGATGGCTTTTCTAAACCAGGAGTGAACTTGTGACGTATCTTTTTGGTTGGTTTATTTGAGGCACTCGAGTTATTGCGCTTCTTCAGGAGATTTTGATGGCCAACTTGAACTTCTTCTTTTTCTGGAAGTTTCTCTCCATTCTTCACAACTTGAAAAGAGAGAAAAATAATCATAAGTATATCAACAAAGTGGAAAGTAGAAATGAATCAAGAGTTAAAACGTGCCATCTCTAGACTTGTCCATGGCCTCAATTACTTTTTGAGTAAGAACTCTGATACTCAGTGGAAGTGTCTTGTCATCCAAGGCATCTTTGAAGGCCTGGCGTTTTCGCTTGATGTTTTCAAGAAAGGCTTCTGGAGTTATTATTGATATTTCGTTGTCCTCGAATAAATTATTTGGGTTTGACGGAGGGAGTGGGGGATTTCTGGTGGAGCTGGAGGCTTGATTTGTTGAAACTTCAGGCCAATGAGGTTCTGGCAGGACTATCTCTGAGGGAAACAATCAGAATGAATGAATTAAATTAAAGCAGTTGAATGATTGAGAGCTTACTCTTGACTGAATCTATCACACATTCCTCGCTAGCTGATTTTAATTGTTCTTCAAGTATTTCCAAGTCGGTAAGATCAGAGTCCGAGTGGGTGTTAAGTTCATCCATTTTCGGAAGTTGAGATTGAGGGATAGGAATTAGTTATTTGTGAAATTGATCCAGAGTTGCTGAGTGCACAATATGGAAAGTGGGAGTTTGGGAAGGTGATAATGATACGGTTTGAAGAGAGGACGGATGGGGATAGATGATTCTGTTTATTTGAGTTCATCATACCCAAATCAGGTTTGTTTGTTATGCATGCACACTTGTTTGATGACTCATTATGCATATATGCTTGCTTGACAGATCATTCACCATGAAAAGTGATAGAAAATTTATTTGATCATTGAGAAAATATGGACTTACCAAAAACCTTTTCTCTAACCTGAGCATCACGTGCTGTTAAGCCCCCAAAAACAAGGTCTGTTTTCTTCAAAGCTAAAACACAAGAATCGTAGAATGTCTTGTTTATCTGAACAGAAAATGCAAACCGGGAGAAAGGACTATCCGAAGGCTTCTGGGATTTGACAGTTTGGTGGTAAAGGAGATTTGAGGCCCAGAAGAGGTCCGTCCATCCATCCATTGCATTGAAATCAACTACAGTTGATATACCTGGAAGAACGAATTGTCCATATTCAACATCGAATCCATCTGCTTGAGATGCTGGCTTCCCAGTCTGTTGATTGATTCCACACCATCCACCATAGGAGATTGAGTTGACATCGTTGTCAATGTGGGCTTCATTGTAGAATTCACCCCAAGTTGCTGTGAGGTTTGATGCATATGCTGAGGGAGAAGACTTATCAAATTCTGTTGCGGAGAAGCTGGGTAAGTTAGCCGATGCCATCTTCTGGACAGAGTGCTGAAACAACCCAGGGGAAAGCTTTTCAAAACGCTGAGATATAATGAAATCAACCCTTGGTAATTTGAGAATAAGGTCTTTCCAGAGATGATAATCCTCTTTGGTTTCTATTTTTGCTGGAGTATAAGTACCTGATGAGACAAAATGAAGGAGAGATGTAAGTTTTTTTGAGTACATAAAATCCAAACAGTCTATAATCATATCCATACCACTATATTCTCCATTATTCCCGTATCCTTTCCTCCATCCAAAAGCCTTCATGATCCCACCCAAGAATGATCCGTTTTTCTGGTTGTTGTAGAATCTTCCAAGTTGCACCAATGTTGTTGTCAGGAATTCAATATCTTCAATTTCATTTGGTAGCATTTCAGACCATTTGGTTTGCTTGAAAAAGAGGCCAAGTTCACGGGATTGGTTTGTCAGGATTATAGTTGGTTGATGTGGTTGTATCCAATGTTGAGCTGTTTGAAGGAATCTCTGGGTTTCATCTACTTCTTCCACTTCCGGACATCTGATTTCAATGGCGGGAGTGAGTTGATCCAACTGAAGAGTGGTGCAGGGGTGATTTTCACCTATAGATAGTTGAGATTTGGGGTCAAAGACAATTTGTTGGACTGAAAACTCATGGGTGGCCTGGTTCCCACGTGGAATAAGCACTTTTCGAGTGGGGATTAGAGCGTGATCCATTCGATTTTCCTCAGAGGGGCAGAGTAGAAAAGCTGTGTTGGGTAATTTCAGATTGATTGGACAGGTGAGTTTGAAAACCAAAACTTTGATTTTTCTGATGAGGATTGTGATGGAACAAAAAAGGAGTTGTTCAGGATGAAAAAATTCAGAAGAGAAATAAACCGGTGACTCATTGCAACACGCTTTGCTTTTCTGATTTGGGGAGTGAAAAGACCATGTTTCACATTTCAAGCTTCATGTTTGGATGAAACATGAAGGACTGGATTGATTAATAAATACTTGAAACACACTCCAATGTTTGGAACTAGAATGGATGGTGAAACATTCTGAAAAAGTGGAAACCAAACTTTGCAGCACATCATTCCATCAAGAAATAACCACTCAAACGTTTTTGTCTCAGCTCCGATCAATCAAGTAGTTCCAGGATGGTGAGGAACTGATCGCGATTGAACACTGAAGGCCTGGAAAGCTTGTATACTTCTCAGACAATGATAGAAACAAAAGCCTTTAGATAACCAGTTTTGCTTGGACCAACAACGACAACAACAGGTTCCAGACTGGATGAAACTGAATCAGGAAGTTTTGGAGGTTGGATGCGATTTGGCAATAGCCTCGGAGTTTTGCTTGGAGGAACAACTTGGATCTAGGATGATGGGGGACTCCTTGCGTTTGAACTCTGAAGGACTGCTTGTGATTTGACTCTGAAGTACTTATTCAAAGGAGATCAACACTAGCTCAGATTAAAATTTACTTGGACCAACAACTAGGACAACAGTACCAGGAATGGATGTGATTCCCTCAGGGTGTTTTGTAGACTGGATGCGACTACAACAAAGGAATACTTATGAAGAGGACATGTCGTGATTGAGGATTTTGGATGCTCTTGAATGCAACTCGGTCAAAACCTCTGGATCTTGATTAGATGAATGATGGAGCTCCAAGAAAGCGATCAGAATGATTAGCTTTAGGAAACCCATGGACTGTTTGTGAACTGAATCTGGGGGCAAACAACTCTTGAAGCTATAGGAAAACAACATAGGGGATGGGGATGTGATCAATATCGATCGCGATTGAATTCTGAAGGACTTGGAGCCTTGAAGACTGGATGCGACATGATTAAAACCTTTTGATTTTACTTGAATCGATGTTACAGCTATAGGACAATACAATAGGATTGGAGACAACACAATAGGATTGGATGTGCATAGAAAACAAGGATGCATACTTTGACTTGATCCATTGACTATCTGAATCAAACAACCGGTTTTACGCGAGTAGTTTAGGGTTGTTGTTGCGACTTGGATCACGTCAGATGTGAGGAGTGGGGGGAGTCCACTTGAGCTGGCCGAATGGCTTTGCATCGACAGTCGCTCCAACCGCTTCTCCCTCCTCGAGCTGCTCCTCTTCCACTCGAGTCTATTGAAGATCATCTAATTTCATCCTTGCTTTGGGCTCCAAAGCTTTAGACGAGCTGTGGGTTCCCTCCTGTCCATTGTGCGACGATATGCCAGAGGAGGAGAGCACTGAATTCACAATCCGAGCACAATGGGAGTGAAAGATTTTGGGTTTAATCATCGGTTTCTTACTTGAGTCGCAGCTGGTTTCTTTTGCTTTTGTTGAGGAGATGGTGTCGGGCTATGAGGGGGTGAATAAAGCATTGATGATGAGACATTGGATGGTGTTACGCCTTCCTTGCTGTGCTCTTCTTCGTCATCAGTATGGCTCAGGACAGCGCCTAGCCCTAGTTTCCGGTTCTTCTGCTTGATGAGCGACCGTTAATTTGTAAAACAACCGACCGATGGTGGATGAGAGGGCCTCAGTCCGTACGTGGGGTTGTAACATTCAATTTTGTCTGGCACAGAGAGGAGTCCATTAGAATCACCAGTTGACTAAGTTGCCGGTAGAGAAGGAGCAGGTGTTGAAGGGGCCGACGTTGAAAGTAGTTTATCATTCACTTACACTTGAATAATCGGTCCATCAAAAATGAGCATGAGTAGAGATGTCCGCAGTGTTTGAGCCGAGTAAGCCGAGCAAAGATGATGAGAAAATGACTGAGTGAAGAGTAGAGATGGGTGGAAGCATTCAAGCCAAGAGAAATGATGATCGAGGAGTTCAACCACAAAATCTGATTCTGAGTTGGGGCTGCGGCGCACAGCAATATGAGCAGCATCCAGCCGCAGTCCATGTCGGATTACGCGTAATCCGACATCAGAGTACCATACAAGCTCTCTGAGGTCTTTCTGAGTTGGGGCTGCGGCACACAGCAATATGAGCAGCAGCCAGCCGCAGTCCATGTCGGATTACGCGTAATCCGACATCAGAGTACCATACAAGCTCTCTTGAGGTCTGTTCTGAGTTGGGGCTGCGGCACACAGCAATATGAGCAGCAGCCAGCCGCAGTCCATGTCGGATTACGCGTAATCCTACATGAGACTTTGGTGCATCTGCTATTTTTTGATCTCCTAGATTCCTCTTATGAGTGAATTGCTTCCCACAGCATTATACTTTTGCAAGAGGCTGCACAGACATCTCTCTGAGATAAGGAAAGTGCCAACAATGGCAATGATGCACCACAGTCCAATTTTAGATTGCATTGAATCTGACATGAGACAGTTGTACATCACACCTGTCAGAGGAAATATGCAGAAGTTGCAGAAGAAAATTTTGATACTTGTTTCCAACATTCAAAGACATGTGTCATTTTCAGTTGATTGTATTGGGTTTGACTACGAAAATAAATATTTATACCCCCCATTTGCCAACGATATCCCTCTTCCTTCCTCTCATGAACAATACCTCAGAATTCTCTCCATCCTCAAGTATACCCCTCCATAAATATTTTCAAGATATGGAGAATTCTTATGGCTGCCTTGGCATTATCTATTCTCCACTTGCACATCCTATCCCTCAGGTGGCCACAGAACTCTTGAAGATAAGAAAAACTTTTTGGGCTTCTCTCGAGCCTTGTGATCAGGAAATATTAGTCCGGATCCCAAACCTCCCAACACATGTTGGCTATATTCCCTTCCCACTTAACTCAGTGCTACTAAATTACCTTACTAGTGCTACCGGATTTGGCCCACTTGGTGGATTGAAATTGACATCATTATCAAACTGTAGTATGACTGTTGAAACCATCCTACGGGCAGATCCCACCCCTCCAGCTACATTGAACTTGGCACTCACCATTTTCCTGCCAAAAAATATGATTAATCCAGTTTACAGCTCATTCATTCAATATAATATGTTTCCACAAACACCACAGGATTATCAGCCCAGTCAGCACCTTGGCATCCAACTCTTGAAAATACCACCAGACCTCATTCCACCACCAGAAGAAATCTCCACAAAAATAAACTTTGACCCCCAGCTGCTGTCAATACCAAGTGGATGTGATCTTCCATATATTCATCCACCAAGTACAATAGTTAAATCTGTTTTACTACCCCACCAAGCACAAGGACTCTCTTTTATCTTGGACCGCGAAAGCCCAACATCCACATCTGCACAATCCCTTTGGGTTCAACAAAAAAACAATGAATGGTATCTCTGGAAGAACAAGATTAATGGTACACAACTAGGATTCTCTAATCCAAATAGTTTTCCAGAGACTCCATTAGGTTCAATCCTTGCTGATGATATGGGGTTAGGAAAATCACTACAAGCCATTTCCCTCATTGCATGCACCTTAGATCAAGCGAAAGAATCCTCCTCAACCACTCCCAATTCATCAATAAAATTGAATCAATCCCATGCCACTCTCATCATTTGCCCAGCACGGCTCCTCACAAACTGGTATCAAGAAATTCAAAAGCACATACATGAAAATTCCTTGATTGTTCTTAAATATCATGGATCTCAGAGGCACTCGACTTCCAAGATCTTGACTCCTGCAGTAAACATCATAATAACCACTTATGAAATAGTAAGAGCTGAGTTCCAGCAATACCAAAACACTTCACTCAGGAGTGAATCTTCAATTTTCTCAAGGATATGGTTCCGTATCATTCTTGATGAGGCTCAGTGAGTGATATTAAGGTTTTTAATTGTCAATAATAATGATCCATCTCATTCTAAGTTCCCATTTCAATCCAGCACCATCAGAACAACAGATTCAAAAACTCAATCAGCAATTCAGTCTATCCAGGCAAACAGAAGACTATGTTTGACTGGGACACCACTGCAAAATTCTTTGCATGATGTCATGGCTCTCCTCAATTTCATTTGCTCAAACCTAAAAACACCTCATAACAATTGGATGGAAGTTGTTTCACCATACCTGAAGAATGGGAATGTTAAGCCATTGCAGCTCATTCTCAGACATGTTATGTTACGCAGAATGAAGAGTGTGGCACTACCCAATCTCCCAGAGATCATTCATAAAACAATGAACACACCACTGACCCCACCCAGTCGCAAGTACTATGATGAACAATTTGAAGAATTCCAGAAATCATTCCAAAGAAAAAATTGCTCAAAAAGCAAGAAAGAAGGAAAATTCTTTTCTTATCTTAATACTCTCAGAGGAATATGTGACCACCCACTCCTAGCTGATCCTAATTTGTATTTGAGTGACAATAAAGAATCTTTTGAAATCAATCAAGCCAAATCTCATGAAAATTTGATAAAAACCGACCAGATAATCAGGCATGAAGTCTCTTACACAGCATGCTTCCAGAGTCAAAAGATTGTGCAGCTTTGTAGAATGCTTGAACAAGGGTCAAAATTGATGGATGAAAATCCAAAAGTTGTTATATTCTCTACATGGACACGGTTTTTAGATCTGTAAGTTTCTTGATTGGTTCACTAATTTACCTGCCAGAAATTCTAAGCCCAAATGTAAAACATCTTAGTATAGGAATCGCCCTTGACAGGCATGGCATCAAATTTTTAAGATTGGATGGTTCAATTGATTCTAGATCACAAGATAGGATGCTTGAGTGATTTTTCTACCAGCCTGAACACAAATGTTCTAATTGCATCCCTACAAACAGCTGGTGTTGGACTGAACATTACCTGTGCAAGTATTGCCTTCATCATGGTAAGTCAAATTAACCCCAAGTACAAATGTTGCCCAGTGGTAATTTGTTTCTCTAGGAACCACACTGGAACCCAACTGTTGAAGCTCAAGCTGTTGACCGACTTCACCGAATTGGACAGACCAAGAAAGTTTGGGTTTTTCATTTTGTGACCCCAAATACCATTGAGGAAAAAATAATTCATGTGAGTTGGATTAATATGAATTTCAAATATATATTTATATATATATATATATATATATATATATATATATATATTTATTTATTGAGATGATTTCATTCACTATATGTATAGGTACAAAATAAAAAGAAACAGTTGGCCCAGTGAGTATTTTCGGAATAATAGTACACAGCTTTTTGATTCTGATTTAGGATCGAGAGAAACAGGTCAACTATCTTGCCCACTATGGATTGGAGAGAGTTGTTTCAAGAGATTCTATCAAGCTGAGACAAAGAGTAAGGTTTGAACCACAGAATTTTATCTTCTAGTGGCAGTGTAAGGTTTAAAATCTTGACTCATGATTATAACATCTCTTATTTTTAGATCTTTCCGGGTAATTTCTGTTAATTTTTTTAACCACTCCTCTGAATATACCTGCTTAGAGAGTTTATCTGGAATACGTGGATCCTCCTCTGTTTTTTCAGCCTCTTCACGCTTTGTAAATTTTTTCTTCCTCTTTGATTTACCTATTCTTGTCCCCACACAGATCTCATGGTCAATTGTTTGAACCAAAGTAGAGAACCCTTTAGAGCGCCACTCCAATTTTTTTTTTCTATGCCTTGTTACCCCATTCACCACAAATTCTTCAGTATCGGAGCAGACAGCTGAATCATTGAACTGGGCTGCAAGTTCAGGATACCCATTCTCATTGCACCACTCCCTCCTTCGCTCTGCAAGCTTTTTGCCCATAAATCACCAAATCCTCTCAGTAAAAATGCACAATTTTGAAAATGTGGAACACAGCTTGAACAAACATACCCTTGTCCGGTTTTTTACAGCCCTGTTTCGTGACTTCTGTGCTTCCAATGCATTCTCACCACCCTTCTGGAGCAATTTCCACTGAGACTGTAGGTAGATGAAGTACCTCTCAAGTATTGTATGGATGATTGCGTGTGTTGAGAGGGCCGGTATCCAAATTGTGTCGTTGTATTCTCCAGAATGAAGGGCCATGCTGATAGTCCGGTAGAATAATAGATCCATGAGCTGGTTGAAAGGGTGTTTCCAGGAGCTTTCCCAATCAAAGGTGAAGTGAGTTAATCCAAGAGTGCGTATCTGTGTTTGAATCCAGCTCTTATATGCATGGGTTTGGGTGCTTTGACTGGATGGAGCAGTTGGAGGTGGTTGATCGTAGGCCTGACTTTTCCCCCTCTGAACTGCAAGGTCTCGCTCCTCCAAAGTTGGAGCAGAAGGAAGACTCTTGAGATCAGTTCCAATAAGGCCAAGGAGTAATCGTGCGTGCCTGTGGACAATATTCTTCATGGTGTCCGATCCCTCAGGCAGAGAACCATTAAGTTCTTTCATCCTTTCCTTCTTGGTTGTCCTTTTTGCAAAGGCAGATTCCTTCTTCCTAATTCCTGTGGTTCTTCGGGCTCGTGAATCTGCTGCGTAGTCCTCTGGTTCAGAATCAGATTCATCTTCATCTCCTCCACCTCCACCTCCGCCTCCGCCTCCACCTCCACCTCCACCTCCGCCTCCGCCTCCGCCTCTGCCTCCGCCTCCGCCTCCGCCTTCGCCTTCGCCTCCACCTCCGCCTTCGCCTCCACCTCTGCCTCCACGTCCCTCTGTGCCTCTGTCTCTGCCTCCGCCTTCGTCTCCATCTCTGCCTCTGCCTCCACCTCCACCTCCTTGGCCTCCAGATCCTCCAGCAATTTGTGTTGAGTTTGAAGAATCTTTGGTTGGTTTTTGTGGAAAAGATGCTTTTGGTGGTGGTTGTGGTTGGAAAGAAGTCTTGGTTTGTGGAGTTGGGAAGGGTACCGAATGCCAAGCTGGTGGTTTCTGATTTGCTGAGGCAAGTGGCTTGGGATCCAAATGATCTTTTGGGACTAAGTCGGAAGCAAAGGTTCTTGTGGAGCGTTGTGGAATTGGGGAGTCTGAAGATGGGTTGGGATTAGATTCAAGTATCTCTTTTGAGAGCGGGTGTGGACCAGAACGAATTCGAGCTAGTTTTCTTGAAGAAATTTCATGGCTAGAACATCCAATGCTGAATTTATTTTGGTCTTCGGCTTCATTGTTCTCCCTTTGGATTGTTTCAACTACAAAAATAGAATAGAGGAGATTCAGAGAAATTTTAGATGCATTAATAATCCAGTGAAGTATTGATAACATACGTTCAAAATCCATCTGTTGATCAACTTCTTCTCTTTCTATAGCCCTTCCTTTTCCCTTCTCATGCCGCTCCACTGGAGATGATGGCTCACCAACTTTCCAAGTGGGAAAATATGAGCTATACATATCTAAAAGGGACTACTTAATTACTTCAGAAAGACTTACAGCCAAAAGTTGATTTAGATGTGTTCCAACCCCAGCCGTGACTTGTATCCTCTTTATCCAGGCATGTACGCTTTGAAGTCTCCCCCACTTGCATGAAATGAAAAACAAACAAATTGTTAAGCTATGGAACATACAGGTAGATGCCAACAACATAAAACTTACCTTTTTTTGAAAGGATTTGAAGAGGTTCACCAAACTGCCTTGACGTAAAAACTCCACCTGATCGCACCGCTTTATCAATTAGCCTCTTTCTACTCTTGATCAGTTCTTCATGCATCCTCTTTGGACCCTTCATCAGACTTCCGAATTCCTTTTTATTGAATGTTCCACGAAGAGGTAAAGATTGCATCCGTTTACGGTTTTCCATATTAGGTGGATTGAGCCTTGACAGGTAGGGTTCTGGATCAGTTCCCCCACCTCCCCGATTGAGTGGTGTCCTTTGAGGACCTTCCCTCCATCTCTCAATCATATCATCTTCAAATAAAACAATTGAATATCAGATAATTGACCACAAATCATTTGAAATGATGAAGTTGCTTGGATCTTACTCTTATCCTTCTCGTGTCTTGAAAGAACTGCAGTTTTTCTTAAAATCTCAGACCTCCTTCCAAACTCTTTTGAAAGTGCAGCCACTTTATCTTGAATCCATCAAAAATCAGGAATCAACGATTAAATTGAAACTATATTTAAATAAACACATACCCTTATCATTTTTGTCATGTTCTGAAACATGGAATGGTTGCCAAAAATCATCCTGCAAGTCTTTCTTTGCACGTTCCACCAGTGAAATTGATTCCCTCTTATTGGATGATCCAGAATCATCACGAGCCACTTCATTCTCATCTGTTGTTCAATTTCAATGTTTATTCAGAATAAAAGGTAGCATCACAGTGTCTCAGGTTATACTTTATATTGTAATAATAGCCTACCTGCATCCTCATCAATAATTAATCCACCAGAAATTTGTTGTTCACCAAGCTCGACTGTTTTTTTTTTGGTTTCAGAATCATCGATCCAATTGTTTCTTGTTGGTGAGTCAACTGATAATATAATTCAAATCATTATACAATCAAATCATCTGAGATTACTGGTGGATGGTTCAATTTCTTACTATCTTTGTCTGAATCCATCCTCCAGTCATCCCAGTTCAATTCACGCCGACTTGATTCCTCCAGAGGTTTCTCATTCCATCCCTCCCAACCAGTTTTCTCCATAGCAAAATTTTCATTCCAATTAATGGGAACTGAAGCACCTTGACCCGTCCTATTTAATTCCAATTGAGATGCACCAAGAGTATGGAAATCTTCACTTTCATCACCTGCAATAGGTAAAAAACATGTCAAATTCCACACTGAATTATTCTGTTTAAAATGAAAACTTACTCTCATACAACTCCCTCTGTTGACGCTTCTCCCAAGCACTTCGATCCTCTTCACTGCTATCTCCATCACCCCGAATGGTCAGTGATTTAGATTTTTGGTCCACCGCTACCAATTCCTGAGCCTGGTCCAAGATGGCTGTTTGGAGATTGATTGACTCAATCAACAGTGTAACTCGTTCCAAGGAATAAATAATGTTTTTCAAGGAAATGCAGACACACTAGTATTATTTTCAGTCTGCATGTCTTGATAATCATTCAGAGTCTCCGACCATGCAGATTGATTATCTCCAGTTCTGATTGTTGGGACTGATTGAACTGGAATTTTCGAAACCAAAGTGGATGCAATTGTAGAGCCATGATCTTTTTTGCACATTAAAATCAACGAATGTGAGCATAAAAAGTTTAACAGAGAATATTTAGCTTACCGGTTTCATCACCAGGTGGGACTTCATCCTCAGGTAGATCACTTAAAATTGTCTGGAGGGAAGTATCAATTTTTTCCTGGCCCACCGGCTCCAAACCTACCTCAATAGCAAGTAATTTTTGCATTTCTGCAGTAGTTTCACTTCCAGAGTGCAAGTCATCGGATCTTACCTCCCTTTTTGATGATGTACGTTTTCTTGCGGATGCAGTCCCAACAATATGAGTTTTCCTTTGTTTTTTTGCCTTTTGGCTAACTAAATTTTGAACGAGGGATATTAGCATGTGATCATCATGTTTTTTAAAATGGAAACAAATCAGGAACATACCACTTGTTTCACTTCTGGCTGAAGATACATCTTTTTTTGTTTGAGTATTTATCATAAAACATTTGTCAGTTTATTTGAATAAAAGAAGGCATAAAGAAATTAAACTTACTGCTTTGATTTGAAGAACTCCTCTGAACATTTGTCGGTGTACCTTATGAGATATGTTTAATAAGTTACTCAATAAATCCCCCTTTGAGGAAAAAAAAACTGACCACTAGGATTGGTAACTCGTGATTGATTTATCAAAGAGGCCAACACAGGTGCAATCGGATTGGTGGTGGCAGGAGTTTCTAGATCAAGTTATATATATATAGGAATGAAGCAGTTGCAAGGTTTAGTTTTAAGAAGGATTATATAATTTTAAGAATGTGGCTCAGTCATACGTACCAATTCGATCATGAGGTGCATCAAAAGTTTCTGGTCTGGTTTTCAACTCAGAGTATTTATCTGAAACAGGATCATCTGGAGCTAGATTTAGGGATTGATGAGTTAAAAATTTGATCTCTTAGTAAATGTGCAACACACAGAACAGCCTTCCACTTGCAGCATGAACTTATTCGTGATAAAAAAGTGAGCATCACAGGAAGGCAGAAGGGTAGATTTTGGATATATAGACTAACAATCCTCACTATCAGGACGAGAATTTCCAGGCCCCGGTATATTATCCATTTGGATTAGGCTTATAGAGGTTGCCTTAGCTAGTAGTAGTTTAATAATGGATTCGGATGAATTTGAAAGATTTCCAATGAGGTTGGGGATTGTCTCGCTCAATCAAAGGATGCTAGGAGCACATATAACTATCTTGAAATCAAGTTTGCTATCTCAAAGCATTGTTTGGCCATTAATTTGCAAGGAGGCCCTGCTATTCTCCACCGGGTCAGCCATTGAAATTTGATAGTGATCTGTTGATTATGTTTCTTTGTTTGCATAGAAACAAAAGACCATTTAATTTCCAAGTTCAGATATCGATCGGAACACAACATCATCAGAAAACTTACGGTTGCATCATGTATGTCATCAAACCTTGACCAAATCATCAATCGTGTAATTATGGCATCAGGAATAGAAAGCTTCAACAGAATCACACCTGCCTTAAAGCATAAAGAGTAACATCAAAAGCACTATTTGTCAATGTCCATTCATCATGAATTGGGTCCCCTCATGACTCATGTTACTACATAAATCATCAATGAAACACATCATGCTTGTGAGCAAACACAAGCCAAACATGAGTCATGTCACTACAGTGGAAATATTCAAAACCGATCAAAAATCACAGTAAAATCACCTGAGTAGCTTTTGTCAGCAACAATTAAAAACATTCAACTAAATTTCCCTTCCAAAATCCAATTGATATTGTTTGATTGTACTTGTCAGAAGAGTAAAGGGGAAATAGACAGAGCAAAACCAACCCGAACATCTGACAATACAAGCACAACATAAATCAACAAGGTTTTTAATGCAGTTCAAAAAGATGGAAACAAACATGAAAATAGAAAGAAAGGGGTGATCATGATTTGGTTAACACTCGATCAATAAACTGTAGGTGATAAGCTGGAAACCAGAGGTATGTCAACACAACCAAACAATAAGAAAAGGTCAGCTTGCCAAGTTGAAAAATATTCAGAAACGAATGATTTCCACTTTTCTTGGATCCAAGGAATACACATTTAATCAATAGTGAACTTCAAATAAAAACTCAAATTATTAGACTTTTCAACTTAAATACTATTCGGTTCAAATCTTGAGAAATGCTTCCAGGAACCATAGTCAGTCTACACAAAGTTAAAGGGGATCCTGGGTCAATCATCCCTAATACCGATCAAGTTACCTTCTGGGGTTATATAAAGATCAACGAATCAGTACGCACAATTCTTCATCTTGATTGGTATACTTCTAACATATTTCCAAATTCTTAGTCGTGGTTCTGTAAAATCGATGAGGTAGTGTTGAGTCACTGCTTTGTTTCTGGACGACAGTCAAATGGATGGAATACGTGCTCTCTTGGACTTGTTCCTACTTGGATCAGCCAGCAGTGTGAGCTTGAGCAAGGTAAAATGTACACACTCGGTGGAAACGTTACTTCAGAACCTACCGGAGGACTATTCAATTTCAACTACAATCCAAAAAATTCAAGGATTGCGAGTCAAGATGAGGAAGAGTACAAAAGGGTTACGATTTGGAGTGATGGTACTATTCTCAGTGTGAAAAAAAATGAGGGTGATCTAGATCAAGTTGGAGGTGGTCAAAGATTTGAGCTCATTGTAGGCCACAAGGTTAACGTGAGTGCTCAGTAATCAAAGAACTACTGGTCTTGTCACTGACATTAAGATGCAGGCTCACGGTGAAATACTGAAGGCAAAATACCTCTTGGACAACAATTACATCAAGATTCCAGTGGGAACCAAACTCAGAGAAGGAGACCGGGTAAATTTTTATGGAGTACTTGAAGGAATTGATGGATTTTTGGGTATTTTAATTGTTCAAGTAAGTAACCCCAATTTCAAATAACACTTGCCCAATGTTGATTAATTTTTTTTTTCAGGTGACCGAGGGAAGATACTACAGCATAATCAAAGATTAGTCTACCATTACATCAAAACAAAATTTCTCAAAATGCTGTTATATATTTTTGAATTGATCAGATTGATATACCAGGTCATGTGTCAAACACAAGACATCACCATTACAGTTTTGTTATCAAATTTTTCAAAAAAGCAGAGAAACTATTAAGCTCTAGTCGTATTGAATTTGATTATTATTTTAAAACTATTCTATACCATTAGTGAAAGATTGGATTGTGACATGAATGTGAAACTGAAACTAAAAATTTCTATTATCACTGGAGGATATTGTATTACTTTAAAATTTATTTCAAATTCAACACGAGCCCTTGCCTGAGGGAATCCCTCACAAATCTGCAGCCCTTACAGATGTTAATTTAAAAGCAGAATTTTTCTGAATATTTCGAGATGGATCTGATCTAAGGAATCTCTAAATCTGACTCTGTGGGTGCTTCAGATTAGAAAGAAAGTCCTCCACTCCAATGTAAAAAGGTAAATGTAGACTTTTCCTGTAAAAAATCTGCTCATGCAGTTAAATTTTGTGAAATGAAACTCCTTTTTTTTTATTTTCACCATGAAGATAGTTGGAAATCTTGGTGAAATACATGTGTCATGATCAGAGAAATGCAGAATAATTTCATAATCTTAAATTGTGACATTAATAATAAATACAGGATCTACCTCAGTGTATTTCTAGTTAATCACAATTTTTCATCATAACCATTTTGGTGAATTTTACAATTTCTTTCCAGACATTCAAAGTGACTCAGTTGTGACCTGCAGTCACTGGTCAACCAGTGCCCTGGAATTTCCCCTGGTGGTTGATCGCCGCCTTGAGATCAGTGGATCAAACATCTATTGTCTTTTCCAAGAACCTTGGAACCTTTTGAAACAAAAATATGTTGGCAGATCCAGGCAGATCCCATGCCTTGGATATAAAAAATTGATTTTCCAGGTTTGGGTTTGGACAGGTATGCGATCCGACCCAAGACCTGATACTGCTATCCAGCCTTAATTTCTTTCTAAGAAGAGCTTTGGAAAATTGAAGCTCATATTCGGAATCAGGGTGCAAAGTTTACCCTGATCCCCCTACTTGCCTGGCCATCCCTTGCTACATCCGACCAGGCTGGAAGGCGAGTTTGTGGCCGGGCATCGGGTCGCTGGGTAGGGGCGGGGAGGGAGAAGCGAAAGGTGGGATACCTTATGAAGGAATCCTCCAAAAAAACAAAATCAAACAAGCTTTTTAATGCATAACAAGAGCAAAAAAATTCAAAAAGTTCCAACATTTTTGGAAAAGACAATATGTAGTCGATGGCCGTTATCGAAGAGATGTTCGTCTTTGTTGTGGTTGTTGTTGAGTCGGTTTTCACGGTTATGTGGGTTTATCGGATAACTCCGACTGTGATCGGGGTGTACAATATAACCCCAGCGGAGATTTTACGTACCCCAAACAGAGTACAGGCATATGACCTAACTTGTACCAAGTCCCAAGCTTCTGCGGGCCTGGTGACCTGGGCTGGCTGGCGCCACTCGCGAAGCGAGCCTCCGAAGGAGGGACTTGTGACAAATACGCACAAGCTCGCGTGTCGCTATCAACATGTTTTGGTGTAGGGAATTTTGGATTGCCCACCATGCATGTACTTTGGGGTTGTTTGAGGGCAGAGTCAGCATGGTCAAAGTTGACCATGTTGCGGTTCTCCTCATCCAATTTTTAGAGATTTTGTATGAAAACCTGACAAGTAAGATATTTTTGAAAAATATGAAATATTGAAATAAATCAGAATTAAAGTTGAGCTCCGAGCCTTGAGAAGCTATTACATAAGCAAAAAACACAAATTTGAGCGGATTCTTGGACCTTTACAAAGTTTCCCTAGAATGTAGTTGTACATGTTTCTGGGTAATTCCTTGATGAAAATTTACTTTGGCATCTGGGATACATTGTGCCAGATTTTTCCTCTATTAAAGTTAAGAAAGCAATTTATTAGAATTTTTCGCACAAAAAACACTCTCAAAACTGGAAAGCGACACGCGGGCGTGTTCGTTTTTGGCACAAGCCTCTCCCGCACTTCGTGCGTTCGACGGAGAGGCTGGGCAAGCTAGGCATATGACAAGGTTCGATGGAGAATTACCAGATCAGATACCCTTAACCATATCCCCCTCATCCTTATCATCCCCTAAAGGAGACTTCTTGAGACCCATTATACCAGTTCATCCATACGAATCTCGCCAGTTGAAGTCGTTCGAAAGTGGTCAACTGTCAGGAAGAAGAAAGAAGCTGTGGAAATGTGGAAACAGCTGGCCAGTAGTCGTTCGATACTTCGATCCGAGCCAGGTCGATCGCCCATGCTGGCCCTGAAACTGGCTGGGGGTGCCCGTCGATCACATGCAACCGCCCCGCCGAGTGCCCTCGACAGTCTCGGCTCGTCCTCCCATCTCAGTCGTCGTTGGACTAAGGAACAAGTCAAGGATGTCTACGAGAGTCCATTGATGGAACTCGTCTTTCGTGCAGTCAGTCTTCCTGTCCTAGTTACATAATTACCCAAACCAAAAAAAACAAAAAAACACTTACCCTTTTATTCGGACCTAGGCTACCACTCATCGAGCCTACCATGATCCAAGCAAGGTCCAACTCTGCACCCTTCTCAACATCAAGTCGGTCCTTTTCCTTTTCTTATTCACTCAAAAACCGCTTTGACTCGTCGATCGCTCATCCTATTGGTTATATGCTCTCCTCTCCTCTCTTAGGACTGGTGGTTGCACAGAAGATTGCTCCTATTGCGCTCAATCATCCAGGTATTCGACCGGTCTCCAAGCCTCTAAACTGATCGACATCGAGCCCGTCCTAGCGTTCGTCCTGCATTAAACTCCTCCTCTTGTCATTTCGCAAATCTTAAAAGAAATCCCCCTGTATTGGTTAATTGATTTGAGCTCTCCATTTTTTTATTCCACAGTGAAGCTCGGAAAGCTAAGGCTAATGGATCTACTAGATTCTGTATGGGCGCTGCTTGGAGAGACATGAATGGTAGAAAGAATGGATTCAAGAAGATCTTAGAGATGGTCAAAGAAGTCAGGTGAGTGAATCATCGCAAAGCACAACTTGCCACTCGATCAATTTTTTTAGTAATATACATCAAACCTGTTTCTACTAATGGGACAAAAGAGCAATGGGTATGGAAGTGTGCACGACTTTAGGAATGCTCTCACCGGAGCAAGCAGTACAACTGAAAGAAGCGGGTCTGACGGCGTACAACCACAACCTGGACACATCCCGAGAGTATTATCCGAAGGTGATTTCGACGCGGTCGTATGACGAGCGATTACAGACGATCGAGAATGTCCGTGAGGCCGGGCTCTCGGTCTGTTCGGGAGGGATCATCGGTTTGGGCGAGTCGGATGAGGACCGGATCGCGCTGATCTGTCAGATGAGCCAGCTCCCCGCTCCCCCCGAAAGCTTCCCCGTTAACGCCCTCGTCCCCATCCCGGGTACGCCTCTCGGTGATAACGAAAGAGTCAGCTTTCACGAAATCTTGCGCACTATCTCTACCGCTCGAATTGTCCTACCAACGTAAGCATGAACATTTTTCAACCCCCCCCCCCCCCTCCCATTTAATCTATGGGCCTAAGCTTTTGTTTATCTGGTTTGGGTAGATCGATCGTGAGATTTGCTGCTGGAAGAAACACGTTCAGTGAAGCAGAGCAAGCGATGTGTTTCATGGCCGGAGCGTAAGCCAAACAAAACCTTGATCCCCTTCATGCTAAAAGAGATTCTCGAGATGATTTGTTGAAAATTACTGTTATGGGTGTAGGAATGCAATCTTTACGGGAGAAAAGATGTTGACGACACCAACCTCGGGATGGGATGAAGATATCTCGATGTTCAGTCGTTGGGGAATCACACCATTAGGCTCATTTGCCTCGGAGAATCAAGACCAAGCCCAGTCTGATTCTACTGCTGATCAACTCGTCAATGATAGAAGATCACACTCGACTAGCGAACTTCCTACTGTTCAAATCACTGCTTGAGAAAAAGAAAATCTTTGTGCTTTCTATTGTTTCTCTATATGAATTTGTATTTGTGTTCGCTTATCTCGTCTCGCTCTATCCACACATTTCTTGCAAATAAAATAAAATATCAAAATTATGACTAGAGTATAACCCTTCTGTCCAAGGAGAAAAAAAAAGCAGAATAAGATTATATCTATATATACACACATATGCATATATAATCAGGATTGATTTGTTCTTCAATATGCTTGTCTTCCAAACATCATTTCTTCCTTTGATACATGCTGTTGCTGGTACAATCCTCAGAATAAACCAAGGTATGTATGGGATTGATTGGTTCCTCTTTATAACTGTGTGTGTATTCACAAAAAATAAATGTATGCATTACAAATCTGTCTAAGGGCAAACCCCGCTCTCAGGAGAGGAATTTTTGTACGCCGGGAAACAGGTTGTGTGCTTAGAGGTAGTGAATTTGCAGCAAACGTAAGATTTGGGAGAATCCTGTCACTATGCACACAGCATATGTACTGGATTCACTTTGCATCTTTTGCTTGTGTGGTCATGATAAACTCTGTCTTAAGAGAGTGAGGACTGAAACAGTGACAGTAAACAGGAGGGAGGGCTCCCTAGGAATGTCCTGTGTGTAGATTGGATCTACTACTGGCGATTATATCAAGTGCTTTATACTCTCTCTGCTTAAAATTAATCTAATTAGTCATGTCCGGTTCATCAAGAAGAAATTGTTGAGTTGGTTTGTTGGGATTCATCCACATTAATGATATTTCATGAAATTTCCTTCTTGTGAGTATGTATGAATCATATGATGTCTTATGTCTGACATCCCATCACCTTCCTTCTTGGACAGTTTTCTGATCATTTTTGTTGGCTGTTTGGGGTGAATACATACAGTCACCATCACCGCTCAAAAATGATTGCTCCAACCGGATGGTCCAAAGAGTCCTCGGTCCAACCTGTCCGAGCAGTTCTGGGAGTCGGACATGGCTGTCCGACATGAGAGGTCGGACTCGCCTGTCCGAGCAGATGAACGGCCCCGTCCGACCTCTCATCGGACGGCCATGTCCGAGAACTGCTCGGACAGCCAGTCCGAGGACTCGTCGGACCGGCAAGGATGTAGTGAAATATTTATACTTATCAGTCCGTTGGTCCAATAACAGATAATGGAATCTTCAATTTATCAGACCCCCGACTCAATGATAAACAGATAAAAGTGATCACAGATCTTAAATAAAAGAGAAGACTGTATTTATGTTTTTCTTTTTGGTGGTTGTCTTCAGGTTGAATGTTCTGAATCCACTAACTATTGAACTTTTTAGGATAAGAAGAATGGAAAAGATTAAGAATGAACGGGCTCAATCACTCATGTTTAGATGCATCTCTTCTCTGCCAAGTCTTCTGCGGTGATTCCGACATTCTGCGAGTTAAGTGGATGGAAGAATCGTGTCAGATGTGAGGAATGAAAGAAGGAGTCAATTCAAGGAGGAAGTCAGATTGGAACTCACATAGACTGATCTGTTTCCAAATGCGTTATTCTTGCAGCAGAACTGGAATTTTGCTGGTTTTTTCTGGGCTATCACACCCACACATGTGTAATGATTGCCTAGCCATTTGGGTGGTTGCACTGAGGAATCACAAAAAAAGTCAAGTAGAATATTTGATTTTTTTTTTTCAAGTTAGCAAGAAGTCAAAAAAAAAGACTTGGCCACAAAAAAAAACACATGTTGATGATATCTTGCCCATTAAATGAAGACTTACAATATCCTACATAACGTGTGGTCGCGTGTTCCTGTGGTGTTGTCTCTCTTCCACAGAAATGGGCTGGGTACTCGTCCGGGCACGGAAACCTCCCATTAATTGATTGGCCAGAGGTCGCTTGGTTCTTGATTAAAAAGACAACAAAACCTGGTAACAGGGCCGAGAAACGCATTCTGAGATGTGATCGGGATATGAATCGATAGGCAATTGTTGGCGAAAAATTGATAATTAGTGATGTTAATTGGCAGTTGGCAGCAGTGACTGCATTAAAGTTGTTTTTCAGCAGTAGATTGGCTTTTATGAGCGATTGTTGCTGTGGCTGGAGAGTAACATACACAAATCTGAAGACCGAACAGAGCCCAACAGGCAGGCGTCGCCACCTGTTGCCGCCTCGTCTTGTTCGAGCGTACATATGCTACGGACTGTCCAGTAATCAATTACAAATTCGTATATTTCCGATCCACTACAGGCATTCTCCAAGATCATGTTCAAGTGTACATTACCAATACAGGGGGAGATCCAAATTAATGGACTGTCTCAGAGAGTTTATGCTTTACGGTGCCACTTCAAGTCTTTCCAATGCCAAGTCCTGCAACATCTCCACATACACAATGGGGCAGTGCCATCAAAACGGCGGTGTCCGCCGGATGAGTGAGCTAGGAAGTCGCCAGAGCGATCAAAAGGGACTTGTAATGGCGGACAACGACCGTTCTGTTGTTGCGATGCAAATGCATCATAGGTGTAATACTGCCCACCGTTCAGGCGCGTCTCCATTGTGAATTGATTGACCTAAAAACTTCATATAAGGCCCCAACGTTAACTTAGCAAAACATAATGCAGACCAATAGTAACACTCAATACGTCACACAACACGCTTACTTTCCACAAGCGCGCTTCTCTTATGGAGGCACTACACGGCAGTTGTGTGTTTTTTTGGTTCGGTTGGCAGATTGCCATTCTGGTCAAACCGCTGGAAAATTGACCTCCGAACCGGCAGATTTGCAGCAATCTGTCAACTTGTGCACAGCCTCAGGCAAGTTAAGTCAACTTGCCTGGGGCGGTTTGCCAACAAACACAGTTCACCAAAAAAAACGCCGCCGAACATAAGGGCCATTTGCCGTCAAGGACAGTTGGCGGCGAGTACACTGGCAAAGAAGTGGGGCATGGGCAACGGATGATAGGGCAAAGCAGCTGGTCCGTGCATCAGAGGACAAGTCACCCTCCACATCACCTCTTCACTCCCAACTCCGTCTCTTCACCCCCAACTCCCCAATTACACATCAATTCTAAAAATTGCATTCGTCAGACAATGTCACCCTCATCTGCTTCAAAATTTCACCTCTTCAATCTAACCTCATCAACACTTTCCCCCTATCTTTGTTCTGATTAGTAATCTCAATTTTGGAAAACTACCACTGTCACTGATGGGCAATACTTTGTCCCAGTGATCACCCAAAGGCCATGAAGTCAAAACTGAGAGCAGTACCAACTCAAGCAACCCAATTGTGAAGCTTAATCTAATACTCTAGCTGCTAGCAGCTATGAAGATTACCCATAGGTAATCTTGCCTAAAGCTAAGAGATAATAAATAAGAAATCTGAGTTCTCTTGAAATCACTATGATAAATAAGATTATAGATTTTATCATAACAACTGGATTTTATTGTAATATGAGAGAACTCAAAGAACTAGGAGTGTATTTCTTATGTGAGACTGATATTCTATATACAATGAATTGATAATCTGAACTAAAGCTTAGAGAGAGTAAAACTAGGAATTCACCTAGGAGCAATACTTGAGCCGTTGATTTGGTATTGTAGATGTATTTCACCTGCTTTCAATGTAGTCGTCCTGAGGATGAGAGTAATCTAAGCGGTAGGTAACTTCTATTGTCAGCTCTGGCTTGTTTCCAACCTTGGCATACATGCTCTTACTTAATCTTGCCTCTCCTGATTGGGGGATGATCCTACTGTAATTCAATACTCCAATGAACCTGGATTAGACCGTTCCACTGTGCCAACGGTGGGCCAGCTACGCTAACCGTAGCGTTAGCGTAGCGTAGTGTAGCGAAAAACCGCTACACTTTAGCGTAGCGTTAGCGCTTTTCTCATTTTCTGCGCTAACGCTACGCGCCTGGGGAAAAAACTTGCGCTAGCGTTTAGCGTAGCGTTAGCGCGATTCCCCCCATCTGCGCTAACGTTACGCGCGCAGGGCGCAAAAAACCGCCCGCTACGCTGCGCTACAGCAGTTTTTAGCGGTTTTTAGGCGTTTTTTGCCGCTAAAAACGCTGTAGCGTAGCGTAACGCAGCGTAGCGGCGCCAGAGGCGCGCTAACACTACACCAAAAATTGGCGAGTGTTAGTGCCACTACGAATTAGCGTAGCGCAGCGGCCGTAGCGGCGCGCAGCGGCCGTAGCGGCGCGCTAACACTACGCAAAAAAAAAAAAAATGGCGCCGCTACGCTAACGCTACATGGGCCCGTAGCGTAGTGTAGCGTAGCGGCCCACCGCTGACTGTGCAGAGTTACAGTCAGGACACTATAGCTTTGTTCATTCTGATCTGCTGTCATAGTTCTTACCCGAGAGTTGTATCTGGGTGATTCTGTCTTGTAGTTTTACTGAGGGTGCTTTAGCGTTGTGCGCATGACTGGATGATTGGTTAAGCCTTAGAGTGTTGCCATCCGCATTCTAACAATAGGTGTCTACCATAAAGCTGCCTCCATGCACAAGATACATACACATTTGGTTGCTATACAGAATTCCCTCTGAGAGTCTAGGTGCTGAAGGAACAGTGGTAATTTCTCCACATGAGCATCCTTTAAATTAAGGGAGGGACTTCATATAAAGTCTAAAAATACCAAAATTCACTGGCTTCATAAAAGAAGTTGTAGTAGGCGGGAAAATACTGAAATCTTCCCCTTCACTGGTGGACTTTCTGTCAATAAATCTTCCCCTTCACTGGTAGATTTATTCCCAATATACAGCCCTTTATGAAGATTTCAGTTTGAACCTGAGTTCTTGAGAAAATACAGCACCAACTGAAAGAACTCATCCACTGTCACTTCATTTCATTCCATGGGCTGGGGTATTTCTTTCTTTGCCAGACATTGAACCAGCTGGAGGGGAGCAATTTAAAGAGGAAAGTGTAGCTGTGGCCCAGGGTCAAAGATCACTATGGATTGCTCCACCCAATCCCAGTTGTCTAACATAGAGATCGTTCGTTCGTACTCGGGTACCTGTTGAATTTTTTCAAAAAATAGGTACCAAGTACCGCACCAGGCACCTCCTGGCGGGTACCGGAGGTACTTTTGGCGGGTACCGCGGGTACCTCCCCTCTCTTTCTAACCTAGGTTTACTTTCAGATTACCAAGTCACTTTTTTATTATTATTATTTTCATATTTATTGTAAAATATCAGTCCCAAGTCACTTTTTTTCCATTCTTTCATATTTATTGTGAAATGTTGACAACAAATTGGAAGAATCCTACTTTGTTATTATATTTTCATAGGGTCTTAGTTAAACGACTCCCAAATATTGGAGTTCCGACTCCCAAATATTTGGGACGTCACTAAGACCCCCTGCGGACGGTCCGCAGGCCGTCCCCCCCCGGAGATGGGAGTCGGACCTCCCAAACCTTCAACAGGTTTGGGAGTCGATCCTCCCAAGAAAAAATAAAATAAAAAGATAAAAAAAATGAAAAACCCCGGGGGTTTTTGGGAGTCAATCTTCAAAAACCCCCAGGGAGGTTGGGAGTCGGCGCCAGACTCGACTCTCAGCGGCGGAGAGGAATCCCTCTCCGCCGTTGAGAGTGTATACTCTCACCGGCTGAGAGGGATTCCTCCCGGCCGCTGAGAGTGTATACTCTCACCGGCCCAGAGGA